CCACCACCAGCTGCCTCCCTCACACACCCACCACCACCAGCTGCCTCCCTCACACAACCACCACCACCAGCTGCCTCCCTCACACCAACCACCACCACCACCAGCTGCCTCCCTCACACACCACCACCACCACCAGCTGCCTCCCTCACACACACCCACCACCAGCTGCCTCCCTCACACACACCCACCACCAGCTGCCTCCCTCACACACACCCACCACCACCACCAGCTGCCTCCCTCACACACACCCACCACCACCACCAGCTGCCTCCCTCACACACCCACCACCAGCTGCCTCCCTCACACACCCACCACCAGCTGCCTCATTCACACACACCACCACCAGCAGCTGCCTCCCTCACACACCACCACCACCACCACCAGCTGCCTCCCTCACACACCACCACCACCACCACCAGCTGCCTCCCTCACACACCACCACCACCAGCTGTGCCTCCCTCACACATCACCACCACCAGCTGCCTCCCTCACACACCCACCACCACCAGCTGCCTCCCTCACACCACCACCACCACCAGCTGCCTCCCTCACACACCCACCACCACCAGCTGCCTCCCTCACACACCCACCACCACCACCAGCTGCCTCCCTCACACACCCACCACCACCAGCTGCCTCCCTCACACACCCACCACCACCAGCTGCCTCCCTCACACACACCCACCACCACCACCAGCTGCCTCCCTCACACACCCACCACCACCACCACCAGCTGCCTCCCTCACACACCACCACCACCAGCTGCCTCCCTCACACCCCCACCACCACCACCACCAGCTGCCTCCCTCACACACCCACCACCACCACCAGCTGCCTCCCTCACACCAACCACCACCACCACCACCAGCTGCCTCCCTCACACACCACCACCACCACCAGCTGTCTCCCTCACACACCACCACCACCACCAGCTGCCTCCCTCACACACCACCACCACCACCACCAGCTGCCTCCCTCACACACACCCACCACCAGCTGCCTCCCTCACACACACCCACCACCAGCTGCCTCCCTCACACACACCCACCACCAGCTGCCTCCCTCACACCCACCACCACCACCACCACCACCAGCTGCCTCCCTCACACACCCACCACCACCACCAGCTGCCTCCCTCACACCAACCACCACCACCAGCTGCCTCCCTCACACCAACCACCACCACCACCAGCTGCCTCCCTCACACACACCCACCACCAGCTGCCTCCCTCCCACACACCCACCACCACCACCAGCTGCCTCCCTCACACACCACCATAACCACCACCACCAGCTGCCTCCCTCACACACCCACCACCACCACCACCAGCTGCCTCCCTCACACACACCACCACCAGCTGCCTCCCTTACACACCACCACCACCAGCTGCTTCCCTCACACACCACCACCACCACCAGCACCAGCTGCCTCCCTCACACACATCACCACCACCACCAGCTGCCTCCCTCACACACACCACCACCAGCTGCCTCCCTCACCCACCACCACCACCACCAACAGCTGCCTCCCTCACACACATCACCACCACCACCAGCTGCCTCCCTCACACACACCACCACCACCACCAGCTGCCTCCCTCACCCACCACCATCACCACCACCAGCTGCCTCCCTCACACACCCACCACCACCACCACCAGCTGCCTCCCTCACACACCACCACCAGCTGCCTCCCTCACACACCACCACCACCACCACCAGCTGCCTCCCTCACACACCACCACCACCACCACCAGCTGCCTCCCTCACACACCCACCACCACCACCACCACCAGCTGCCTCCCTCACACAACCACCACCACCACCACCAGCTGCCTCCCTCACACACCACCACCACCAGCTGCCTCCCTCACACCCACCACCACCACCACCAGCTGCCTCCCTCACACCCACCACCACCACCACCAGCTGCCTCCCTCACACACACCACCATCAGCTGCCTCCTTCACACACACCACCACCAGCTGCCTCCCTCACACACCACCACCACCAGCTGCCTCCCTCACACACCACCACCACCACCACCAGCTGCCTCCCTCACACACCACCACCACCACCTCCCTCACACACACACCACCACCACCAGCTGCCTCCCTCACACACCACCACCACCAGCTGCCTCCCTCACACACCACCACCACCACCACCAGCTGCCTCCCTCACACACCACCACCACCACCACCACACACCACCACCACCAGCTGCCTCCCTCACACACCACCACCACCAGCTGCCTCCCTCACACACAACACTACCACCACCAGCTGCCTCCCTCACACACCACCACCACCACCTGCTGCCTCCCTCACACACCCACCACCACCAGCTGCCTCCCTCACACTCCCACCACCACCAGCAGCCTCCCTCACACACCACCACCACCACCAGCTGCCTCCCTCACACACCACCACCACCACCACCAGCTGCCTCCCTCACACACACCACCACCACCACCACCAGCTGCCTCCCTCACACACCACCACCACCACCAGCTGCCTCCCTCACACACCCACCACCACCACCAGCTGCCTTCCTCACACCCACCACCACCACCACCACCAGCAGCTGCCTCCCTCACACCCACCACCAGCTGCCTCCCTCACACACCACCACCACCACCAGCTGCCTCCCTCACACACACCACCACCACCACCAGCTGCCTCCCTCACACACCACCACCACCACACACACCACACCACCACCAGCTGCCTCCCTCACACACCACCACCACCAGCTGCCTCCCTCACACACACCACCACCAGCTGCCTCCCTCACCACCACCACCAGCTGCCTCCCTCACACACCACCACCACCAGCTGCCTCCCTCACACACCACCACCACCAGCTGCCTCCCTCACACACCACCACCACCAGCTGCCTCCCTCACACACCACCACCACCACCACAGCTCCCTCACACACACACCACCACCACCACCACTGCCTCCCTCACACACACCACCACCACCACCAGCTGCCTCCCTCACACCACCACCACCAGCTGCCTCCCTCACACACCACCACCACCACAGCTGCCTCCCTCACACACCACCACCACCAGCTGCCTCCCTCACACACCCACCACCACCACCACCAGCTGCCTCCCTCACACACCACCACCACCAGCTGCCTCCCTCACACCACCACCACCCCACCACCAGCTGCCTCCCTCACACACCACCACCACTACCAGCAGCCTCACCACCCCCTCACACACACACCACCACCAGCTGCCTCCCTCACACACACCCACCACCAGCTGCCTCATTCACACACCCACCACCACCACCAGCTGCCTCCCTCACACACCACCACCACCACCAGCTGCCTCCCTCACACACCCACCACCACCACCACCAGCTGCCTCCCTCACACACCCACCACCACCACCAGCTGCCTCCCTCCCACCACCACCACCAGCTGCCTCCCTCACACACCACCACCACCAGCTGCCTCCCTCACACACCCACCACCAGCTGCCTCCCTCACACACCCACCACCAGCTGCCTCCCTCACACCCACCACCAGCTGCCTCCCTCACACACCCACCACCACCACCAGCTGCCTCCCTCCCACCACCACCACCAGCTGCCTCCCTCACCCACCACCACCACCACCACCAGCTGCCTCCCTCACACACCCACCACCAGCTGCCTCCCTCACACACCCACCACCACCACCAGCTGCCTCCCTCACACACCCACCACCACCACCACCAGCTGCCTCCCTCACACACCCACCACCACCACCAGCTGCCTCCCTCACACACCCACCACCAGCTGCCTCCCTCACACACCCACCACCACCACCACCAGCTGCCTCCCTCACACCACCACCACCACCAGCTGCCTCCCTCACACCCACCACCACCACCAGCTGCCTCCCTCACACACCCACCACCACCACCAGCTGCCTCCCTCACACACCCACCACCACCACCAGCTGCCTCCCTCACACACCCACCACCACCACCAGCTGCCTCCCTCCCACCACCACCACCAGCTGCCTCCCTCACACACCCACCACCACCACCACCAGCTGCCTCCCTCACACACCCACCACCACCACCAGCTGCCTCCCTCCCACCACCAGCTGCCTCCCTCACACACCCACCACCACCACCAGCTGCCTCCCTCACACACCCACCACCACCACCAGCTGCCTCCCTCCCACCACCACCACCAGCTGCCTCCCTCACACACCCACCACCACCACCAGCTGCCTCCCTCCCACCACCACCACCACCAGCTGCCTCCCTCACACACCCACCACCACCACCACCAGCTGCCTCCCTCACACACCCACCACCACCACCAGCTGCCTCCCTCACACACCCACCACCACCACCACCAGCTGCCTCCCTCACACACCCACCACCACCACCAGCTGCCTCCCTCACACACCCACCACCACCACCAGCTGCCTCCCTTACACACACCCACCACCACCACCACCAGCTGCCTCCCTCACACACCCACCACCACCACCAGCTGCCTCCCTCACACACACCCACCACCACCAGTGCCTCCCTCACACACACCCACCACCACCACCACCACCAGCTGCCCCTCGCTACTGTTATGCAGTACTGACCATAATATAATAATAAGATGATATACTCAACCAGTTGACTCTGAACAATGTCCAGCAAGCTTCCTCACCTGCTTCTCAAGCTTAAATAATACTTAATCTGCAACCAAATTTTAACTATTATCTGACATTAATTACCGTCCTTGTCATTTATGGTGGGCTCTGATGCAACTTCTTTTCAACAACTTTGAATATTGCAACTATGAACAACTTCAAACGTTGGGTTAATTGATAAAATGTTACAGAAAATCCCAGAGCACTCATTCCCCAGCGTCGCAGCTCGTGAACTCGCTGTAATGCTGTTGATGACATGGACTTTCCCAGTGAGGCAAGGAACGTGCACTTGCAAGACTCCGGCCGACAAGAGTGGTGGAGTTCCCTGCCCCCTTGAGGGACCTCTGGCAGGCGGGGTACATATGAGCCTCGCCCGCCTCTCAGCCCTCAGTGTCCTCCCAGTCGCCGGGTCACAAACACGCTGCGCTCTGGTCTACGTTTCCTCACTATTCATTTGTTTTGTTAGTTTCACGAAAGCTTAACTATAATGCCAACATGTAAATCTATCTGGCCAAGTTGCCAGATATCGGCTGTCTTCTGCTACAGTGCTAAGAAACTCTGAAAATAGATATTTAAAAGAACGTTCTGCATTACGTTTAAAATTATACACCAGATTACGTCGCCAGCCTAGTTTGAGAACATTTAGAGTTAATGAAATAGGCCTGATTGTGTTTGGTATTTAAGTTTTGAATAAATTTAAGTTTAATTTATTTAAATTTAAATTGATTTAAGTTTGGTATTTAATAATTTCACAGGTAGAAGGCTACTAATGTGTCTCCCTCATCTTCTCCCAGGCTAGCGACCAGGTCCAGGGTGTGGACAGCCAGTGTGGTCGCCATGCTCACCACTGCTGCCAGCATGGCTGCCATGCTCACCACTGCTGCCAGCATGGCTGCCATGCTAACCACCGTTGCCAGCATGGCTGCCTTTGCCACAAATACCACCGCGGTAAGAACTCTCTCACCTACACACACACACACACACACAGTATAAGCATACACATCATGTATACACATACATATATTCTGGTCAATTAGTCACAGACAGCCAGTCATAAGGATAAATAAAACTGCCGAAGGCTTATTAACCCATACGAGGCAGTTCATATTTATATCCACCCAACGCATTCATAAGCATGTCTAACCTACACTTGAAACACTCCAACAAGTTACCCGGTAATTGGTTCCATAAAGTCAACAACCCTTATTTCCAAACCAATATTTTCACAATTCTTTCTTGCTTTCAAACTTATCCATATTTATATTCATTGTTTCGTGTTCTATTTTCGTTTTTAGAGCCTCGGTCCCTGAGTCTATAAAGACGAAGAGATAAAAACTATTTACATTGTAAATGGAACTTTTCAATCTCTCAATATTAGAGGAGTTTCAAAGCCGAGGGATTACCTGTATCAGCCTCGTCTGTGTGTGTGCCGCTCAATACCTGTATATTATATATACTGTCGTGCCAATACCTCGCAATCGTAATCTATACCGGTATATGTATAAACATATACATCTTTTAATACATATTCCAGAATGCCTAAATGCCACATATTGAAAAACATTAAAACACATAACAGTATACATAAATTAAGCCTCATATGTGGCATCGCAGAATACAAAAAAATATTGTTAGTCATAGACACAAATTTTAACTAATAATAATAACATTGTGGAATTCATACACCCACATAAAATTATCCATAAAGCTACATACTGGAAAACATAAGCACATATTTTTCTTAGATTGTTTGTACTGACAAGTGGCGCAGGAAGACACGCCTGCTGACTCCTGCTACCGTACGAGAGCTGGTCCTTCCCACAGCTCATGGTGAGCCTTATCCCCACTAGCTTTCCCTGGAACACAACCAGCCAATCGGTTGACAACCAGGTACCCAATCACTGCTGGGTGACGAACAGTTAGGTAGCCAAGTCAACCCTCCCCGGTCAGGATACGAACCTGAACGAAATCGATGACGAAGCTTTGAGCGATTGTTACCACTGCGCCACCAGGGAATGGTCTCTTAAGACTTGTGGGGGTCACACACAGGCCAACTACTCATCTTCTCCACGATGAAACCCACAATAATTGATTAACTCCCGTGTGCCTATTTATTTCTAGGTGAACAGAGGCGTCAGGTGAAACGAAACGTGCTCAAACGTCTCCGTCCTGAGCGGGAATGTAAACCTTGTACGTGTGAACTAGCTGCTTAATATGAACGCACACACTAGTATACATAAAATACACATTAATAAACAAACTCACTATACGTATACTTACAATAGACCTCGAGTTTCCTTGCTAAGACAGAAAGAGGTCCAGGGCCCGCACCTGAGGTCCAGGGCCCGCACCTGAGGTCCAGGGCCCGCACCTGAGGTCCAGGGCCCGCACCTGAGGTCCAGGGCCCGCACCTGAGGTCCAGGGCCCGCACCTGAGGTCCAGGGCCCGCACCAGAGGTCCAGGGCCCGCACCTGAGGTCCAGGGCCCGCACCTGGGGCCAGATTCACGAAAGCACTTACGCAAGTACTTACGAACGTGTACATCTTTCCTCAGTCTTTGACGGCTTTGTTTACATTTATTAAACAGTTTACAAGCATGAAAACTTCCCATTCAACTGTTGATATTGTTATAAACAGCCTCCTGGTGCTTCGGAGCTCATTAACTGTTTAATAATTGGAAACAAAGTCGCCAAAGATTGAGAAAAGATGTACAGGTTCGTAAGTGTTTGCGTAAGTGCTTTCGTGAATCTGGCCCCTGAGGTCCAGGGCCCGCACCTGAGGTCCAGGGCCCGCACCTGAGGTCCAGGGCCCACACCAGAGGTCCAGGGAACGCACCTGAGGTCCAGGGCCCACGCCTGAGGTCCAGGGCCCACACCAGAGGTACAGGGCCCGCACCAGAGGTCCAGGGCCCGCACCAGAGGTCCAGGGCCCACACCTAAGGTCCAGGGCCCACACCTGAGGTCCAGGGCCCACACCAGAGGTCCAGGGCCCACACCAGAGGTCCAGGGCCCACACCAGAGGTCCAGGGCCCACACCAGAGGTCCAGGGCCCACACCAGAGGTCCAGGGCCCACACCAGAGGTCCAGGGCCCACACCAGAGGTCCAGGGCCCACACCAGAGGTCCAGGGCCCACACCAGAGGTCCAGGGCCCACTCCAGAGGTCTAGGGCCCATGCCAGAGGTCCAGGGCCCGCACCTGAGGTCCAGGGCCCGCACCTGAGGTCCAGGGCCCATGCCAGAGGTCCAGGGCCCGCACCAGAGGTCCAGGGCTCGCACCTGAGGTCCAGGGCCCACGCCAGAGGTCCAGGGTCCACACCATAAGTCCAGGGGCCCACGCCAGAGGTCCAGGGGCCCACGCCAGAGGTCCAGGGCCCACGCCTGAGGTCCAGGGCCCACGCCAGAGGTCCAGGGGCCCACGCCAGAGGTCCAGGGGCCACGCCAGAGGTCCAGGGCCCACACCAGAGGTCCAGGGCCCACGCCTGAGGTCCAGGGTCCACACCAGAGGTCCAGGGGCCCACGCCAGAGGTCCAGGGGCCCACGCCAGAGGTCCAGGGGCCCACGCCAGAGGTCCAGGGCCCACACCAGAGGTCCAGGGCCCACACCAGAGGTCCAGGGCCCACACCAGAGGTCCAGGGCCCACACCAGAGGTCCAGGGCCCACACCAGAGGTCCAGGGCCCACGCCAGAGGTCCAGGGCCCATGCCAGAGGTCCAGGGCCCGCACCTGAGGTCCAGGGCCCGCACCTGAGGTCCAGGGCCCACGCCAGAGGTCCAGGGCCCACGCCAGAGGTCCAGGGCCCACGCCAGAGGTCCAGGGCCCACGCCAGAGGTCCAGGGGCCCACGCCAGAGGTCTAGGGCCCACGCCAGAGGTCCAGGGCCCACGCCAGAGGTCCAGGGCCCACACCAGAGGTCCAGGGCCCACACCAGAGGTCCAGGGCCCACACCAGAGGTCCAGGGCCCACGCCTGAGGTCCAGGGCCCACGCCTGAGGTCCAGGGCCCACGCCTGAGGTCCAGGGCCCACGCCAGAGGTCCAGGGCCCACGCCAGAGGTCCAGGGCCCACGCCAGATGTCCAGGGCCCACGCCAGAGGTCCAGGGGCCCACGCCAGAGGTCCAGGGCCCACGCCAGAGGTCCAGGGCCCACGCCAGAGGTCCAGGGCCCACGCCAGAGGTCCAGGGCCCACGCCAGAGGTCCAGAGGCCCACACCAGAGGTCCAGGGCCCACGCCAGAGGTCCAGGGCCCACGCCAGAGGTCCAGGGCCCACGCCAGAGGTCCAGGGCCCACGCCAGAGGTCCAGGGCCCACGCCAGAGGTCCAGGGCCCACGCCAGAGGTCCAGGGCCCACGCCAGAGGTCCAGAGGCCCACACCAGAGGTCCAGGGCCCACGCCAGAGGTCCAGGGCCCACGCCAGAGGTCCAGGGCCCACGCCAGAGGTCCAGGGCCCACGCCAGAGGTCCAGGGCCCACGCCAGAGGTCCAGGGCCCACGCCAGAGGTCCAGGGCCCACGCCAGAGGTCCAGAGGCCCACACCAGAGGTCCAGGGCCCACGCCAGAGGTCCAGGGCCCACACCAGAGGTCCAGGGCCCACGCCAGAGGTCCAGGGCCCACACCAGAGGTCCAGGGCCCACGCCTGAGGTCCAGGGCCCACGCCTGAGGTCCAGGGCCCACGCCTGAGGTCCAGGGCCCACGCCAGAGGTCCAGGGCCCACGCCAGAGGTCCAGGGCCCACGCCAGATGTCCAGGGCCCACGCCAGAGGTCCAGGGGCCCACGCCAGAGGTCCAGGGCCCACGCCAGAGGTCCAGGGCCCACGCCAGAGGTCCAGGGCCCACGCCAGAGGTCCAGGGCCCACGCCAGAGGTCCAGGGCCCATGCCAGAGGTCCAGGGCCCACGCCAGAGGTCCAGGGCCCACGCCAGAGGTCCAGGGCCCACGCCAGAGGTCCAGGGCCCACGCCAGAGGTCCAGGGCCCACGCCAGAGGTCCAGGGCCCACGCGGGGATCTGTCACAATAACACAACCAAGACCTGAATTATCCGCAGACCTGCAGGAGAGTGGGAAGAGTTCCCTCACGATAAATCCCTATCCCCCCCCCCCCCTCCTCCTCTCCCAGCTTGTGTTGCATTAGTAAAATCCCGGGTGTGCCTACTCCCCTCTGGGTCCATAACCCCTACTCCCCTCTGGGCCCATAACCCCCCCTCCCCAAAGTCAACCCCCCCCCCCCCTCCGTCTTCTTGCTAGGATTTCAATTAAAAAAATCTTTGATCACTCTTTGTTTATTGCTTACTTTGATCACCCTTAATTTTTTTCTGACATGAAACTTATCATTCATTTATGAATTAGTAACTGTAAAGTCTTCTCGCACACATAACAACATGGGATAACAACCCACACTTGTGTATTTGTGAGATTTATGTAAGGAATTTACACCAAGTCTTCGGAGGCGGGACTAGTGGTGACCTGGTCAGGTGGTTCAGAAGGACAAGATGACGACCCAGGCTAACAGCCAAGTTACAGCCCCGCTCCTGTGCCAGGTAAGTCCACTACGGGCTCACCATAGCCCGTGCTACTTGCAACTTTTCGTTCCCAGTAGCCGACTCTTAAACCAACAAGATAACAGCCTCATTAAACGTTGAGATGTAAGTCTGGTCCTGACCACACACTCACACCATGACAAAGCACTGATCGGGAGAGTGTGAAAGACTTGGTGTAAATTCCTCACATAAATTTCACAAGTGTGGGGTGTTTATCCAATTAATTTATGAATATTATATTCAACCATAACTAAGTATATTCTTAGAAAAATACATATACTGTATATGTACATGAACGCACATACATATGTGAGGTCTAATGCCAAGACATCCACCGAGTGAATGTAAGGTGACATGCGGGTCAGTTTGGGCACAGTGAGAGTGTGTGACCACTGATGGAGGTGCCTGTGTGCGCGCAGGTGCCGGGAGGCGGGGCCGGGAGCTTGGGCCCCTCGGCGGAGGCAGCGGAGTCGCTGTGCAAGGTGTGCCCCGACCTGCCCGCCTGCAAGGACAACAATACCACGCTCATGCAAGGTAAGCTTTCCACCTCTACACTTATATGGCCCCCCAGGTACCTTATATGGTCCCCCAGGTACCTTATATGGCCCCCAGGTACCTTATATGGTCCCCCAGGTACCTTATATGGTCCCCCAGGTACCTTATATGGCCCCCCAGGTACCTTATATGGCCCCCCAGGTACCTTATATGGTCCCCCAGGTACCTTATATGGTCCCCCAGGTACCTTATATGGCCCCCCAGGTACCTTATATGGTCCCCCAGGTACCTTATATGGCCCCCAGGTACCTTATATGGTCCCGCAGGTACCTTATATGGTCCCCCAGGTACCTTATATGGTCCCCCAGGTACCTTATATGGTCCCCCAGGTACCTTATATGGTCCCCCAGGTACCTTATATGGTCCCCCAGGTACCTTATATGGTCCCCCAGGTACCTTATATGGTCCCCCAGGTACCTTATATGGTCCCCCAGGTACCTTATATGGTCCCCCAGGTACCTTATATGGTCCCCCAGGTACCTTATATGGTCCCCCAGGTACCTTATATGGCCCCCAGGTACCTTATATGGTCCCCCAGGTACGGCCCCCCAGGTACCTTATATGGTCCCCCAGGTACCTTATATGGCCCCCCCAGGTACCTTATATGGCCCCCCCCTTAGGTACCTTATATGGCCCCCCAGGTACCTTATATGGCCCCCCAGGTACGTTATATGGTCCCCCAGGTACCTTATATGGCCCCCCAGGTACCTTATATGGCCCCCCAGGTACCTTATATGGTCCCCCAGGTACGGCCCCCCAGGTACCTTATATGGCCCCCCCTTAGGTACCTTATATGGTCCCCCAGGTACGTTATATGGCCCCCTCCCCCAGGTACCTTATATGGCCCCCCAGGTACCTTATATGGCCCCCCAGGTACCTTATATGGCCCCCCAGGTACCTTATATGGCCCCCCAGGTACCTTATATGGCCCCCAGGTACCTTATATGGTCCCCCAGGTACGTTATATGGTCCCCCAGGTACCTTATATGGTCCCCCAGGTACCTTATATGGCCCCCCAGGTACCTTATATGGCCCCCAGGTACCTTATATGGCCCCCAGGTACCTTATATGGTCCCCCAGGCACCTTATATGGCCCCCAGGTACCTTATATGGTCCCCCAGGCACCTTACATGGCCCCCCAGGTACCTTATATGGTCCCCCAGGCACCTTACATGGCCCCCCAGGTACCTTACATGGCCCCCAGGTACCTTACATGGCCCCCAGGTACCTTATATGGCCCCCAGGTACCTTATATGGCCCCCAGGTACCTTACATGGCCCCCAGGTACCTTACATGGCCCCCAGGTACCTTACATGGCCCCCCAGGTACCTTATATGGCCCCCCAGGTACCTTATATGGCCCCCCAGGTACCTTATATGGTCCCCCAGGTACCTTATATGGCCCCCCAGGTACCTTATATGGCCCCCAGGTACCCTATACCCTGGAAACACAAACCGAAACTGTCTCTATTTTCCGCTTGTTACAACTTGTAATAAAGTTGTTACATCTTGGCTTAACGTGTTTATGACGTATTAGAACGTTGTTAGAACTTGATATATTGGTTGTTATAACTGGTTAGGAGGTGTTAAAACTTGTTCGAACGTTGTAGCAACGTCGTAGTTTCGGTGTGTGTTTGGCGGGTATGGCCCCCCAGGTACCCTATATGGCCCCCAGGTACCTTATATGGCCCCCAGATACCTTATATGGCCCCCAGGTACCTTATATGGCGCCCAGGTTCCTTATATGGCCCCCAGGTACCTTATATGGCCCCCAGGTACCTTATATGGCCACAGGTACCTTATATGGCCCCCCAGACACCTTATATGGCCCCCCAGACACCTTATATGGCCCCCAGGCACCTTATATGGCCCCCCAGACACCTTATATGGCCCCCCAGGCACCTTATATGGCCCCCAGGCACCTTATATGGCGCCCAGGTACCTTACATGGCTCCCAGGTACCTTATATGGCCCCCCAGGTACCTTATATGGCCCCCCAGGTACCTTATATGGCCCCCCAGGTACCTTATATGGCCCCCAGGTACCTTATATGGCCCCCCAGGTACCTTATATGGCCCCCAGGTACCTTATATGGCCCCCCAGGTACCTTATATGGCCCCTCAGGTACCCTATATGGCCCCCCAGGTACCCTATATGGCCCCCCAGGTACCTTATATGGCCCCCAGGTACCTTATATGGCCCCCAGGTACCTTATATGGCCCCCAGGTACCTTATATGGCCCCCAGGTACCTTATATGGCCACAGGTACCTTATATGGCCCCCAGGTACCTTATATGGCCCCCAGGTACCTTATATGGCCCCCAGGTACCTTATGTGGCCACAGGTACCTTATATGGCCCCCCAGGTACCTTATATGGCCCCCCAGGTACCTTATATGGCCCCCAGGTACCTTATATGGTCCCCCAGGTACCTTATATGGCCACAGGTACCTTATATGGCCCCCAGGTACCTTATATGGCCCCCAGGTACCTTATATGGCCACAGGTACCTTTATGGCCACAGGTACCTTATATGGCCACAGGTACCTTATATGGCCACAGGTACCTTATATGGCCACAGGTACCTTATATGGCCACAGGTACCTTATATGGTCCCCAGGTACCTTATATGGCCACAGGTACCTTATGTGGCCACAGGTACCTTATATGGCCACAGGTACCTTATGTGGCCACAGGTACCTTATATGGCCACAGGTACCTTATATGGCCACAGGTACCTTATATGGCCACAGGTACCTTATGTGGCCACAGGTACCTTATATGGCCACAGGTACCTTATGTGGCCACAGGTACCTTATATGGCCACAGGTACCGTATGTGGCCACAGGTACCTTATGTGGCCACAGGTACCTTATATGGTCCCCCAGGTACCTTATATGGCCCCCCAGGTACCTTATATGGTCCCCCAGGTACCTTATATGGCCACAGGTACCTTATATGGCCACAGGTACCTTATATGGCCACAGGTACCTTATATGGCCACAGGTGCGCCTATCATATTCGATCAAATGCTCTACTTAAGGCACCTTACATGATTACATTCTCAACCATTAATAACTTAAACAATCACATACCCAACAACAGGTGCCTTACCAGACCATAAGAATGTTCACACACAGCTAAATGTCCAGAGATGTTTTCCTATTAGACTATCTGTTGGGACAAGGTACAGTTCCCCTTCCCACTGATTGCCTCTGCAGTGAAGGAACAAGGTGTGCTCACTTCTACACCAGCAGAGGTGTGCCCGGGCCACACCTACACCGTGCTCTGACCCGGGCCACACCTACACCGTGCTCTGGCCCGGGCCACACCTACACCGTGCTCTGGCCCGGGCCACACCTACACCGTGCTCTGGCCCGGGCCACACCTACACCGTGCTCTGGCCCGGGCCACACCTACACCGTGCTCTGGCCCGGGCCACACCTACACCGTGCTCTCTCCTGTATTGTTAATTAACACACTTCAGGCCGCTACGCTGCTGGTCCAGTCTGGCTTAAGCTCACCCTTTGTCTTCACGTGAGGAAAGCAGCGCCGACCCCAGTGTGTTTCTATATTCCCAGATAGTTATATAATAAACTAAGGTTAAGACATTAGAGCTCTCTGTACCTTGAAGAAACTTCTCAATCCCTCAATGTTAACCACCTCTAAGAATCATACTCCACTAGCGGTTACCTTGCGGTGGTTCCGGGGTTCAAGAGCCCCGCGGCACGGTCTCTAGCACGCTAACGATCACTGTTCAACCCGTCCTCACACTAGGCTGGTTAAAGCAGCGGCCGTCCTCCGCAGACACATTCATCAACTTTAACATACTGTGTATTAAAAATTGGTTTGTTCTCATATATAAATTAATATTATACATAAAAATTGTATGTATAATTAGGCGTAGGTTAAGTTATGTGTCCAGGTTCTGTCGGCGATTTTTGTATTTGAAGTACGTGAGTGAAGCATTTATAGAATTGTGGTTCGAACAGAGGACATGAGCGAAGCATTTGTTCCGGAAGTGTTCGGACGACAGCAGTTGTACAGCCCGTCCTCACATAAGGATCCAAGGTCGTTAATCCAGCCGCCAAACTCCGTTTATGAATGAAAAGCGGTTTACACACGACTCACAACTGATGATGTCCGAACACTTCCGGAACAATTGCTTCGCTCACGTCCTCTGTTCGAACCACAACGCTGTAAATGCTTCACCCACCAATTTTAACCAGCCAATGTGTGAGGACGGGTTGCAGCTGTGAATCGTGTGTGTAAACTGATTCTTTTTTATTAAAAAACGGGGTTTGGCAGCTGGATTAACGAGCTGTGATCTTTGTATGCGAGGACGGGTTGACTCCAGCCCGTCCTCCAAACAAAGACCCAAAAGAATTCCATGCACCCGCCAACCCCAGCTGTTTATGAATGAAAAAAAGGTTTACACACGACTCACAACTTATTTTGTTCGAACACTTCCGGAACAAGTGCGTCACTGACGAATTTTGTCCCAACCACAACACTATAAATGCTTCACCCACGTACTACAAATACCAATAATCGCCAACAGAACCTAAACACCTAACCTACCTAATGCCTAAATATGCACAATATGCTAATATATCACAATATTAATTTATATTTGAGAAAAACCCTGTTTTGAATGTACAGCATGTTAAAATTTATGAATGTGTCTTTGGGGTCGACCGCTGGATGGCATGGACTTGGTCTGAGAACGGGTTCCTAATTAATATAAATAATCGCCAACAGAACTTAAATACCTAACTTATGCGTAACTTTATACAGAAATTTAATATATTAATGCTGCGGTGGTCCGCCAAGACCCATTGAGGCGAGAGTTGGGAGGGTGGTAAGACCAGAGGCTGACTTTGTCCTCAGAGAAGCAGCGCCATCGAGGCAACATGGTGGACGTGGACCAGCTCGACCCCACCAGCGACCCGGTGCTCTCCCTGGTGCTAACTCAGTGCGTCTCCCTACACTCCCACAACCAAGGTAACAACCCCACTACACGCCACCTTCCTTGTAACACGCTTCTCCTCCTTTTTGTTTTATATTTAGATATATATATCTTCTTGTATTTATATTTTGTATACACCCCTATACACCCTTCATGACTCACCTGGCATACTTGTACACACCTTTACACCCTTCGTAACTCACCTGGCATACTTGTACACACCTTTACACCCTTCATGACTCACCTGGCATACTTGTACACACCTTTACACCCTTCGTAACTCACCTGGCATACTTGTACACAACTCTACACCCTTCGTAACACGCTAAACATAGGTACAGTTTCACGCCCGTGTTAACTTGTCTGACGTACGTCATTACACCTTTACTCGCCTGTGTACGTTTCCCGTATTTATTAAATATGCTTAGTGTCAAAACTATGAAGATGCAGCTGTCTCCAGCCCATAACACAGTTAGTTGCGAGCTGGTAGGGCACTATCAGTAAATTAACATTAATTCAAATTAGACATCAACTCTATACAAGAGATAATGTCTGTTTGTCCAACGTTGGAGGCCAGACACTTGGGGCCAGGCTGGCCCAAATTGACAGAGAGAATGGCCTGGGGTGCGGGATGAACATAGGCTAGTCGGGGTCGCCATAATTTAAAAAGGAACAGCGTGCCAGGGTCACATCAAGATCTCCACCACGATTTTTGGCACTGCCCGCCGGCTGCACACCTAAATATTTTGAAAATAAACATCTCAAGAAAGATTTTTTCTCTTACAGTAATATACACCGTCATTCATTGATTTTTGGATAATTAAAAAATTTCTTGCTATTCATAATTTGCCCGTAGCGGCATAAAACAGAATCCTCCAACAGCTCCCTAGTTTTTTTTAAGCCTCGCCTTTTTTTCTAAGTAAATAAGTGACAATTCCTTTTGTTTATATTTCACACTGATCACTCCACTCACTCACACAGAAATGGTGGACATTTTTTATGAGAGATGGATAGACTGAGGGATAGATGGATGGACAGAAAGATAGATGCATAGATAGTTGGATGGATAGATTTAAAATCATATAGACTGGAAGAGGGATATAGATAGATGGATAGTAACATAGTACCACCCCCCCAGAATACCATTATAACACCACCACCACAATGGTACCACCTTCCAGAGTACCATCATATCACCACCACCACAATGGTACCACCCCCAGAGTACCATCATACAACCACCACCACAATGGTACCACCCCCAGAGTACCATCATACAACCACCACCACAATGGTACCACCCCCCAGAGTACCATCATACAACCACCACCACAATGGTACCACCATCCAGAGTACCATCATATCACCACCACCACCACAATGGTACCACCCCCCAGAGTACCATCATACAACCACCACCACAATGGTACCACCCCCCAGAGTACCATCATACAACCACCACCACAATGGTACCACCCCCAGAGTACCATCATACAACAACCACCACAATGGTAACACCCCCCAGAGTACCATCATACAACCACCACCACAATGGTACCACCCCCCAGAGTACCATCATACAACCACCACCACAATGGTACCACCATCCAGAGTACCATCATATCACCACCACCACCACAATGGTACCACCCCCCAGAGTACCATCATATCACCACCACCACAATGGTACCACCCCCCAGAGTACCATCATACAACCATCACCACAATGGTACCACCCCCAGAGTACCATCATACAACCACCACCACAATGGTACCACCCCCAGAGTACCATCATACAACCACCGACACAATGGTACCACCCCCCCATAGTACCATCATACCACCACCGCCACAATGGTACCACCCCCAGAGTACCATCATACCACCACCGCCACAATGGTACCACCCCCCAGAGTACCATCATACCACCACCGCCACAATGGTACCACCCCCAGAGTACCATCATACCACCACCACCACAATGGTACCACCCCCCAGAGTACCATCATACCACCACCACCACAATGGTACCACCCCCAGAGTACCATCATACCACCACCACCACAATGGTACCACCCCCCAGAGTACCATCATACCACCACCACCACAATGGTACCACCCCCCAGAGTACCATCATACCACCACCACCACCACAATGGTACCACCCCCAGAGTACCATTAAACCACCACCACCACAATGGTACCACCCCCCAGAGTACCATCATACCACCACCGCCACAATGGTACCACCCCCAGAGTACCATCATACCACCACCGCCACAATGGTACCACCCCCCAGAGTACCATCATACCACCACCGCCACAATGGTACCACCCCCCAGAGTACCATCATACCACCACCACCACAATGGTACCACCCCCCAGAGTACCATCATACAACCATCACCACAATGGTACCACCCCCCAGAGTACCATCATACCACCACCGCCACAATGGTACCACCCCCCAGAGTACCATCATACCACCACCACCACCACAATGGTACCACCCCCCAGAGTACCATCATACCACCACCACCACAATGGTACCACCCCCCAGAGTACCATCATACCACCACCACCACAATGGTACCACCCCCCAGAGTACCATCATACCACCACCACCACAATGGTACCACCCCCCAGAGTACCATCATACCACCACCACCACAATGGTACCACCCCCCAGAGTACCATCATACCACCACCACCACCACAATGGTACCACCCCCCAGAGTACCATTAAACCACCACCACCACAATGGTACCACCCCCCAGAGTACCATCATACCACCACCGCCACAATGGTACCACCCCCAGAGTACCATCATACCACCACCGCCACAATGGTACCACCCCCCAGAGTACCATCATACCACCACCGCCACAATGGTACCACCCCCCAGAGTACCATCATACCACCACCACCACAATGGTACCACCCCCCAGAGTACCATCATACAACCATCACCACAATGGTACCACCCCCCAGAGTACCATCATACCACCACCGCCACAATGGTACCACCCCCCAGAGTACCATCATACCACCACTACCACAATGGTACCTCCCCCAGAGTACCATCATACCACCACCGCCACAATGGTACCACCCCCCAGAGTACCATCATACCACCACCACAATGGTACCAATCTCGTGTCAAACGCTCCATCATATTTGATATAAATGAAGATATAAACGACTTTAAATATATTTTACGACAAGAGTTGTGACAGTCCCCGGTGTGTTGTGACAGTCCCCGGTGTGTTGTGACAGTCCCCGGTGTGTTGTGACAGTCCCCGGTGTGTTGTGACAGTCCCCGGTGTGTTGTGACAGTCCCCGGTGTGTTGTGACAGTCCCCGGTGTGTTGTGACAGTCCCCGGTGTGTTGTGACAGTCCCCGGTGTGTTGTGACAGTCCCCGGTGTGTTGTGACAGTCCCCGGTGTGTTGTGACAGTCCCCGGTGTGTTGTGACAGTCCCCGGTGTGTTGTGACAGTCCCCGGTGTGTTGTGACAGTCCCCGGTGTGTTGTGACAGTCCCCGGTGTGTTGTGACAGTCCCCGGTGTGTTGTGACAGTCCCCGGTGTGTTGTGACAGTCCCCGGTGTGTTGTGACAGTCCCCGGTGTGTTGTGACAGTCCCCGGTGTGTTGTGACAGTCCCCGGTGTGTTGTGACAGTCCCCGGTGTGTTGTGACAGTCCCCGGTGTGTTGTGACAGTCCCCGGTGTGTTGTGACAGTCACCAGTGTGTTGTGACAGTCACCAGTGTGTTGTGACAGTCACCAGTGTGTTGTGACAGTCCCCAGTGTGTTGTGACAGTCCCCGGTGTGTGTTGTGACAGTCCCCGGTGTGTTGTGACAGTCCCCGGTGTGTTGTGACAGTCCCCGGTGTGTTGTGACAGTCCCCGGTGTGTTGTGACAGTCCCCGGTGTGTTGTGACAGTCCCCGGTGTGTTGTGACAGTCCCCGGTGTGTTGTGACAGTCCCCGGTGTGTTGTGACAGTCCCCGGTGTGTTGTGACAGTCCCCGGTGTGTTGTGACAGTCCCCGGTGTGTTGTGACAGTCCCCGGTGTGTTGTGACAGTCCCCGTGTGTGACAGTCCCCGGTGTGACAGTCCCCGGTGTGTTGTGACAGTCCCCGGTGTGTTGTGACAGTCCCCGGTGTGTTGTGACAGTCCCCGGTGTGTTGTGACAGTCCCCGGTGTGTTGTGACAGTCCCCGGTGTGTTGTGTCCCAGTGTGTTGTGACAGTCCCCGGTGTGTTGTGACAGTCCCCGGTGTGTTGTGACAGTCCCCGGTGTGTTGTGACAGTCCCCGGTGTGTTGTGACAGTCAGTCCCCGGTGTGTTGTGACAGTCCCCGGTGTGTTGTGACAGTCCCCGGTGTGTTGTGACAGTCCCCGGTGTGTTGTGACAGTCCCCGGTGTGTTGTGACAGTCCCCGGTGTGTTGTGACAGTCCCCGGTGTGTTGTGACAGTCCCCGGTGTGTTGTGACAGTCCCCGGTGTGTTGTGACAGTCCCCGGTGTGTTGTGACAGTCCCCGGTGTGTTGTGACAGTCCCCGGTGTGTTGTGACAGTCCCCGGTGTGTTGTGACAGTCCCCGGTGTGTTGTGACAGTCCCCGGTGTGTTGTGACAGTCCCCGGTGTGTTGTGACAGTCCCCGGTGTGTTGTGACAGTCCCCGGTGTGTTGTGACAGTCCCCGGTGTGTTGTGACAGTCCCCGGTGTGTTGTGACAGTCCCGGTGTGTTGTGACAGTCCCCGGTGTGTTGTGACAGTCCCCGGTGTGTTGTGACAGTCCCCGGTGTGTTGTGACAGTCCCCGGTGTGTTGTGACAGTCCCCGGTGTGTTGTGACAGTCCCCGGTGTGTTGTGACAGTCCCCGGTGTGTTGTGACAGTCCCCGGTGTGTTGTGACAGTCCCCGGTGTGTTGTGACAGTCCCCGGTGTGTTGTGACAGTCCCCAGTGTGACAGTCCCCGGTGTTGTGACAGTCCCCGGTGTGTTGTGACAGTCCCCGGTGTGTTGTGACAGTCCTGTGTTGTGACAGTCCTCAGTGTTGTGACAGTCCTCAGTGTTGTGACAGTCCTCAGTGTTGTGACAGTCCTCAGTGTTGTGACAGTCCCAGTGTTGTGACAGTCCCAGTGTTGTGACAGTCACCAGTGTTGTGACAGTCCCCGGTGTGTTGTGACAGTCCCCGGTGTGTTGTGACAGTCACCAGTGTTGTGACAGTCCCAGTGTTGTGACAGTCCTCAGTGTTGTGACAGTCCCCGGTGTGTTGTGACAGTCACCAGTGTTGTGACAGTCACCAGTGTTGTGACAGTCACCAGTGTTGTGACAGTCCCAGTGTTGTGACAGTCCTCAGTGTTGTGACAGTCCCAGTGTTGTGACTGTCCCAGTGTTGTGACAGTCCCAGTGTTGTGACAGTCCCAGTGTTGTGACAGTCACCAGTGTTGTGACAGTCCAAGTGTTGTGACAGTCCCAGTGTTGTGACAGTCACCAGTGTTGTGACAGTCACCAGTGTTGTGACAGTCTCAGTGTTGTGACAGTCCTCAGTGTTGTGACAGTCCCAGTGTTGTGACAGTCACCAGTGTTGTGACAGTCACCAGTGTTGTGACAGTCACCAGTGTTGTGACAGTCTCAGTGTTGTGACAGTCCAAGTGTTGTGACAGTCACCAGTGTTGTGACAGTCACCAGTGTTGTGACAGTCTCAGTGTTGTGACAGTCCTCAGTGTTGTGACAGTCCCAGTGTTGTGACAGTCACCAGTGTTGTGACAGTCACCAGTGTTGTGACAGTCTCAGTGTTGTGACAGTCCCAGTGTTGTGACAGTCCCAGTGTTGTGACAGTCACCAGTGTTGTGACAGTCACCAGTGTTGTGACAGTCTCAGTGTTGTGACAGAGCTAATGGAGCGGGTGGAGCGCCTGGAGGCAGAGAAGGCCAGCCTGCTGCTGCAGATGATACAGCTCCGGGTGGGGCTGGTGGAGCTGGGCGCCGCGGACCAGTACACCAGACACACCCGCGACACCTCCAACAGGTACCTCCTCCCAACGGTAGACTTGGTAGACATATCTACCTCAGTTACTGACTTGAAAATATATCACGAATATATTGATCATACATATCTCTGATTATTGATATAATCACAGTGTGATTGTCGCCCCCACCATGACCTCTGACCCCCGCCCCCCACTCCCTCCAGGTTAGACTTTCCTCTGGAGGCTCCGTCGAGCGGCCTGGCGCCCGCTGGCCGCTCCCCGCCCAGGAATCCTAACCTCTTCGCTGCCAGATTCAGGTCAGTACTCCACGCTTTTTCTCAATTCTCCTGTTTTGGTGGTACTTACAGTAGCGATGAGGACCAGAGTGTATATACCGACCTACAGCAACATGAGAACGTTGAAATCTGAACTATTGAGTCGGACAAACCGGAAAACTATTTTTTACTTGTGTTGCTTTTTAAAACTGAACTAGCCTAACCTTCCTGGGCGTAATGCACGATCTCTGAGGAGTAATGTGTGCTACACTGGGCCTAGGAATATGTAAGTTTGTGTTTTAACTTCATTTATTTTCAATGAATTCCTTACTAGTCAGTATACTACTAAAGTGTAAGAACGTACGAATTCTCACTATTGACGACTGTCACAATAGGTACTCTCTAAACAGGAGGATGGATTGCCCACACACACACACACACACACAAAAGAGGGGGCCTCGCGGCTGAGTGGACAGCGCTCGGGGATCGTAGTCCAAACCCCGAATTCGACTTCCGGGTTCGATTACCGGAAGAGGAAACAAATGGACAAAGTTTCTTTCACCCTAATGCCTCTGTTCACCTAGCTGTAAATAGGTATCTGGGAGGTAGACAGCTGCTACGGGCTGCTTCATGGGGATGTGTGTGTACTCGCCTATTTGTGCTTGCGGGGGTTGAGCTTTGGCTCTTTGGTCCCGCCTCTCAACTGTCAATCAACTGGTGTACAGATTCCTGAGCCTACTGGGCTCTATCATATCTACATTTGAAACTGTGTATGGAGTCAGCCTCCACCACATCACTTCCTAATGCATTCCATTTACTAACTACTCTGACACTGAAAAAATTATTTCTAATGTCTCTGTGGCTGATTTGGGTACTAAGTTTCCACCTGTGTCCCCTTGTTCGTGTTCCACCCGTGCTGAAGAGTTTGTCTTTGTCCACCCTGTCAATTCCCCTGATATTTTTATTCCAGGGATATTCATGCGCGGGCCCTAAGCCTCTGGCTGGCCCACTAGGCGGGCCCTAAGCCTCTGGCTGGCCCACTGCGCGGGCCCTAAGCCTCTGGCTGGCCCACTGCGCGGGCCCTAAGCCTCTGGCTGGCCCACTAAGTGTTGCTTGTTTCTGTTTTACTTGGGCGGAGTATGAGTATTTATGACTCGTATGGTCGCTTCAGTAAGATGATGTCCCATGTGTTTAACAACTTCGTCTGCTCTGTTGAATCTAATTTGAAATCTTAGTGGGTTTGTAACTGTGCAATGTGTTAGATAATGTTCCAGTGGTCTGTTGTGGCTGTAACTGTGCACTGTGTTAGATAATGTTCCAGTGGTCTGTTGTGGCTGTAACTGTGCACTGTGTTAGATAATGTTCCAGTGGTGTGTCGGGCATTTCTCCACAGTGTTGACATTTCCTCTCATCTTCCGGAACCTGTAAGCCTATTTTCCCTGCACATGAGTATCCAAGCCTGATGCGATGTAAGTGTACTTCTGTTGTTCTATTGTTCCCTTTCATCAAACTAAGTGGTTCATAGTAGGTTGAATTCTTGCACCAACCCGCAGATCCTGATGTTGCAACTGCTGTGTTGTGGTCACTGTACATCTTTTGCATTGCTCTGTTTCTAATTACTTTCTTAATCTGTGATAAACTCTGTGGTATGTAAATGTCTACATTTCTTCTCTTAGTTGCAAGTTTTGCAGCTTCGTTTGCAATGTCATTTCTTATTATTCCCACATGACTTGGCACCCAGTTGATAAGTTGATAAGTATAGTTTTACCTGTCACAGGTGTGGCATCTATACTTATACTTACGAAATGAACGGTATGGTAAACAACACAGCTCAATTCCAACACAATGTCACACTAAATAATTCAATAAAAATATAATAAATCGAAATCTATGAAAATAAAATTTATCAATGCAATCGGAAACACTGAAATGGTATTCGTGACATATTTAGTATAGCGTGCATGTTGCTATTATGTGCAACAAATGGCGCTGTTTTTCAAAAAACGCCTAGTAGCTACCTAGTAGAGTTCTGGCTACCTAGTAGCCAGAAGTCACTTCTCAGCCTACTATGCAAGGCCCAATTTGCCTAATAAGCCAAGTTTTCATGAATTAATTGTTTTTCGACTACCTAACCTACCTAACCTAACCTAACTTTTTCCGCTACCTAACCTAACCTAACCTATAAGATAGGTTAGGTTAGGTTAGGGGGTTGGTTAGGTTCGGTCATATATCTACGTTAATTTTAACTCCAATAAAAAAAAATTGACCTCATACATAATGAAATGGTTAGCTTTATCATTTCATAAGAAAAAAAATTAGAGAAAATATATTAATTCAGGAAAACTTGGCTTATTAGGCAAATCGGGCCTTGCATAGTAGGCCGAGAAGTGCGTTCTGGCTACTAGGTACGACATATTATATATATATATATATATATATATATATATATATATATATATATATATATATATATATATATATATATATATATATATATATATATATATATATATATATATATATTACACCAATGTAATGTGTGGTGTGGATGCTCATATTACAACAAGGTCAGCCCATCCTCCTGGATGATGATACTGTCTTGATCCACCAGTCTGTGGTGGAACGTACAAATAGCGACTGTTGCAGCAAACAATGTTCGCGTGTTTACTACTAATTGTGTAGCGAGTACGGGAAGTAAACACGAAACATAACCACTCCGAGGCCTAGTGTAGTACACACCCACACGTGTGTACTATAATACACTTGAGACAGCGTATATTAGGCCTAGGGGTTTCATTGGACAATTGCATACAAGAGTTACATTCTTGTAAAGCCACTAGTACGCGTAGCGTTTCGGGCAGGTCCTTAACCCTAATTTCCCCGGAATGCGACCCGCCGAATCGTTTAACAACCAGGTACCCATTCACTGCTGGGTGAACAGAGGCTACAGTTAAGGATTGGCGCCCGGTCAATCCTCCCCGGCCAGGATTCGAACCCAAGGCAAGGCGCTTGCGAAACGCCAAGCGAGTATCTTACCACTGCGCCACAGAGACTGCTTATTAGAGACTGAAATTAGGCTTTGTTATTTGGTTACTTCAGTACCTTTTAGCGTCACTTGGGCTCATTCAGTAGTACAAAATGTCAACTTTTTGGTCTCCAACAGTACATTTTTGTACGTTTGATCAAATACATGTTATAAATAGTATAATTTTAGAAGGATGGGCTAACATATATACGTAACATAGTCATAATATAGTTCATATATGCACTATGTTAAGCCTATAGATTATAGCTAGGGCCGAGACAGGTTAGGATATTACTGTCTTCGTTTTTGTTCCTTGATATAGTGTGTAATATATGTTCTATGTTGACTATATTTCCTAATAATGTATTGGTAAACTTTGTGGTGACCCGTGTGTGGTGACCCGTGTGTGGTGACCCGTGTGTGGTGACCCGTGTGATGATGACCCGTGTGATGATGACCCGTGTGATGATGACCCGTGTGATGATGACCCGTGTGATGATGACCCGTGTGATGATGACCCGTGTGATGATGACCCGTGTGATGATGACCCGTGTGTGGTGACCCGTGTGCTGCAGGCCGGTGGACTGCGCCGACTACCTCCAGCTGGGCCACACCACCAGCGGGGTCTACAAGATCTACCCCTTCAGGTACGTCCTTCTCCAACTCGCTATTCAAGTCAGTTCTTTATTTTTTAACACCGATATCCCCGCCCATCTTCCTCTTTTGGTGGTACTTATAGTAACGATCATAGTATATATACCAACCTACAACAAAATTATTAAGTAGAAATCGGCACTATTGAGTTGGGCAAACCAAAAAAATTTCTTGTGTACCTTAGACAAATTAAACTAACCTATCCTAATTTCCCTAGACATAATAGAGGATATCTGAGGCCTAACATAGTACACAAGTGTGCTTAAGTGTGTGTTTTAGCTTCATTTATTTTAAAAAATCCCTACTAGTCAGTATACTACTTAAAGCTGAGAACTACGAATTCGTGACTATTTACGACTGTCACAATAGGTACTGTCTAAATAAAAGGATGGGTCGCAGCATATTACGAGGGGCTCTGATATATATTTAAATGAAAAAATATGATGCATTTCACATTGAATATTACTTTTGGCACTGAAGCTAATTTTGACCAAGGTAGCCGGTACCATTCGTGTCACAGCCACACAAACTTTGCCCCATAAAACTCTGAGGTCTGAAATGTGAGTTCATTGTCCATAGTGTTTTCCAACTGATGTTTTGGATGTTATCGACGTTGATTCAACATCGTAATTGTTGATTCATTTTAATCAACAAACTACAACATGATTAGCATGTTCTACCCCCCCTCCCCCCCCTTGGACAGGAAGCAGGAGGGGGTTAGGAAAGGAAAGGTCATTTTCATGAGGAAACACCAAGCTTTATAGTGGGAGGGAGCGGAGGAGGAGGGAGGGGGAGAACAGAGAGAAGGAAGGAGGAGGGAGGGTGAGAGATGGAGCGAGGCAGAGTGGGAGACAGGGAATATGGCAGAGTGGGAGGGTGGTGGTTGTTTAAGAGTCAGCTACTGGGAACAAAAAGTTGTAAGTAGCACGGGCTATGGTGAGCCCGTAGTGGTCTTACCTGGCAAAGGAGCGGGGCTGTAACTGTGAGTGGGAGGAATGGAGAATGGGAGAGGAGAAGGAGGTGGGAGAATGGAAGGGAAGAAGGGAGAGAGAAACAGGCTACCGCCGGGTACCCCTCCCCCCATTTCTAGTACCAGATACAGCAAAGCACAGTTGGAACACATGTGGAGGGAGTACAGTACACAGTTGGAACACATGTGGAGTGAGTACTGTACACAGTTGGAACACATGTGGAGTGAGTACAGTACACAGTTGGAACACATGTGGCGTACAGTACACAGTTGGAACACATGTGGAGTGAGTACAGTACACAGTTGGAACACATGTGGAGTGAGTACAGTACACAGTTGGAACACATGTGGAGTGAGTACAGTACACAGTTGGAACACATGTGGAGTGAGTACAGTACACAGTTGGAACACATGTGGAGTACAGTACACAGTTGGAACACATGTGGAGTGAGTACAGTACACAGTTGGAACACATGTGGAGTACAGTACACAGTTGGAACACATGTGGAGTGAGTACAGTACACAGTTGGAACACATGTGGAGTACAGTACACAGTTGGAACACATGTGGCGTACAGTACACAGTTGGAACACATGTGGAGTGAGTACAGTACACAGTTGGAACACATGTGGAGTGAGTACAGTACACAGTTGGAACACATGTGGAGTGAGTACAGTACACAGTTGGAACACATGTGGAGTGAGTACAGTACACAGTTGGAACACATGTGGAGTGAGTACACAGTACACATGTGGAGTGAACACACAGTGGAGTGGAGTACAGTACACAGTTGGAACACATGTGGAGTGAGTACAGTACACAGTTGGAACACATGTGGAGTACAGTACACAGTTGGAACACATGTGGAGTGAGTACAGTACACAGTTGGAACACATGTGGAGTACAGTACACAGTTGGAACACATGTGGAGTGAGTACAGTACACAGTTGGAACACATGTGGAGTGAGTACAGTACACAGTTGGAACACATGTGGAGTGAGTACAGTACACAGTTGGAACACATGTGGAGTGAGTACAGTACACAGTTGGAACACATCACTATCTAGTGGCCTCGATAATGACAGGAAGCCGGCAGCTTGTCAAAGGTTTCCCCCATTTGTCCTAATGATTTTAAAATTCAGCAGTTTTGGTATTTACAATTTGGGCGGGTAGGCGGCTCCATGGGTGAACCCTGTTTTCAGCCCTGTGGGTGAAGATCATCATCTGTTCTCAGTCCAACACTCTGGCTTGTTGAGCTTGAAACCTTTGCTCCTTGTTTGTGTTACATCTGACCTTTTGAACCACTTGTCTGGATCAATCTCCTCCATTTTTGTGTTAGTATATTAAAAGTTTCAGTGAGAAGATCCGTGTCACGTCTGGCTTACAATATTTAGTCAGGAGGCTATCAATCATTTCTGGCACCAGGGTCGACTCCCTTCACGAAGGATTTTTGTTGCCTGGTGTTGAACTTTCTCCGAAGCAGCTGTGTGTTTCTGAAGACGAGGTCTCCAGGCTTGGGTACAATAACCCAACGCACCAGAGATTTATACTTTTATATTTACCTTCTTTTCCCTGAAGTCAAAGATTCGTTTCATTATTCCTAGGATTTGGGTTGCTTGAGACAGTGACGTTGGGCACCGTGCTGGACTTGTAGGTACACGTCTTCAACATCATGCACACATTATTACCAGTAAAGACATAATGGTGCTACATAGTGTCCCCGGCTTGCTGCCTTCTGATACTTACATTGAAAGTTTAGGATCATGAGGGCATTTATAATCTTCAATATTTGTAATATATATATAATACCAGGGTCAAGAAACATTTATAGGATCAATATTTTATCATATTTTCAGCGAGTATCTCGCTTACTCCTCCCTCGTTTATAGCATTAGCTTGGGAAGTCTTAGTGAATTATTTAATAAAACTATTTAAGAGAACACGTGATACCGTGTGTTCTGGCGGGGGTCAGCAACCGACCTCACAAACACGGGCATCGTCGTTGATAACACACGTGCAGGCGATTAGTCACAATAACGTGGCTAAAGTATGTTGACCAGACCACACACTAGAAGGTGAAGGGACGACGACGTTTCGGTCCGTCCTGGACCATTCTCAAGTCGACCATTCTCACAATCGACTTGAGAATAGTCCAGGACGGTCCAAAACGTCGTCGTCCCTTCACCTTGTAGTGTGTGGTCTGGTCACCATTAACACATGTAATGCCTCCGACGTCCTGGACGATAGCTGCCGCTGCACCAGGCCTGTGGAGGTGTGGTGCGACATGGAGACCGACGGGGGCGGCTGGACGGTGTTCCTGGCCAGGAACAACCTCACCAAGCATGAAAACTTCAACCGCACGTGGAGCGACTACCGGGAGGGCTTCGGCAACGCCTCTGGCGAGTACTGGCTGGGTAGGTCCTCTCCTCAACCTCACTACTTCGGTAACTCTTAGTGTTATTAAGGCAACATCAGAACAGCTTTACAACCATTACCACATATTAATAACTTTACAAGGGTTAAAAAGAAAAAAATGACTATTATATATATATATATATATATATATATATATTAGTATATTTTGGTAGCAGTCTTTCCTGTAGACATATATTATTAAATATGACCGAATAAGTAAGATTAATAATTCTAACACGAATTTTCTCAATCTTTCGTACATTTCTTTTCACTGTTGGAGGTAAATCAAAAATCAATTCTCCAAAATTCATTTTTATTTCTAGTCTGACGCGACACGAGCGCGTTTCGTAAAACTTATTACATTTTCAAAGACTTTTAGTTTACAAATACACAACTGAATAGAACTTACACATCTCCTGGTTTCGTTTATATCTACATTTGAGTGAGGTGGATGGGGTGAGGTGGCATTAATAGGGTATTAATTTCATCAACACAAGACAGAACAAGAGGTGGCATTAATAGGGTATTAATTTCATCAACACAAGACAGAACACGAAACAATGGGTATTGAAATGGAAGTGATTGTAGAAAGCCTATTGGTCCATATTTCTTGATGCTTCTATATTGGAGCGGAGTCTTGAGGTGGGTAGAATGTAGTTGTGCATTAATTGGCTGTTGATTGGTGGTGTTGACTTCTTAATGTGTAGTGCCTCGCAAACGTCAAGCCGCCTGCTATCGATGATTTCTGTGTTGTTTACTAGGATTTCTCTGGCTATGGTTTAGTTGTGGGAAGAGATTATATGTTCCTTAATGGAGCCCTGTTGTTTATGCATCGTTAAACGCCTAAAAAGAGATGTTGTTGTCTTGCCTATATACTGGGTTTTTTGGAGCTTACAGTCCCCAAGTGGGCATTTGAAGGCATAGACAACGTTAGTCTCTTTTAAAGCGTTCTGCTTTGTGTCTGGAGAGTTTCTCATGAGTAGGCTGGCCGTTTTTCTGGTTTTATAGTAAATGGTCAGTTGTATCCTCTGATTTTTGTCTGTAGGGATAACGTTTCTATTAACAATATCTTTCAGGACCCTTTCCTCTGTTTTATGAGCTGTGGAAAAGAAGTTCCTGTAAAATAGTCTAATAGGTTGCATGGCGTTTCACTTTCCTTCTTATGATGTCTTCGACGAAACCATTGGAGAAGCCGTTGTTGACTAGGACCTGCCTTACCCTACAGAGTTCTTCGTCGACTTGCTTCCATTCTGAGCTGTGGCTTAGAACGCATATGTCGACCGTGCTCTAAGCCACAGCTCAGAATGGAAGCAAGTCGACGAAGAACTCTGTAGGGTAAGGCAGGTCCTAGTCAACAACGGCTTCTCCAATGGTTTCGTCGAAGACATCATAAGAAGGAAAGTGAAACGCCATGCAACCTATTAGACTATTTTACAGGAACTTCTTTTCCACAGCTCATAAAACAGAGGAAAGGGTCCTGAAAGATATTGTTAATAGAAACGTTATCCCTACAGACAAAAATCAGAGGATACAACTGACCATTTACTATAAAACCAGAAAAACGGCCAGCCTACTCATGAGAAACTCTCCAGACACAAAGCAGAACGCTTTAAAAGAGACCAACGTCGTCTATGCCTTCAAATGCCCACTTGGGGACTGTAAGCTCCAAAAAACCCAGTATATAGGCAAGACAACAACATCTCTTTCTAGGCGTTTAACGATGCATAAACAACAGGGCTCCATTAAGGAACATATAATCTCTTCCCACAACCAAACCATCGCCAGAGAAATCCTAGTAAACAACACAGAAATCATCGATAGATACAGCGATAGCAGGCGGCTTGACGTTTGCGAGGCACTACACATTAAGAAGTCAACACCACCAATCAACAGCCAATTAATGCACAACTACATTCTACCCACCTCAAGACTCCGCTCCAGTATAGAAGCATCAAGAAATATGGACCAATAGGCTTTCTACAATCACTTCCATTTCAATACCCATTGTTTCGTGTTCTGTCTTGTGTTGATGAAATTAATACCCTATTAATGCCACCTCTTGTTCTGTCTTGTGTTGATGAAATTAATACCCTATTAATGCCACCTCACCCCATCCACCTCACTCAAATGTAGATATAAACGAAACCAGGAGATGTGTAAGTTCTATTCAGTTGTGTATTTGTAAACTAAAAGTCTTTGAAAATGTAATAAGTTTTACGAAACGCGCTCGTGTCGCGTCAGACTAGAAATAAAAATGAATTTTGGAGAATTGATTTTTGATTTACCTCCAACAGTGAAAAGAAATGTACGAAAGATTGAGAAAATTCGTGTTAGAATTATTAATCTTACTTTTTCGGTCATATTTAATAATATATGTCTACAGGAAAGACTGCTACCAAAATATACTAATATATATATATATATATATATATATATATATATATATATATATATATATATATATATATATATATATATATATATATATATATATATATATATATATACTAATATATATAATATACTAATATATATAATATATATATATATATATATATATATATATATATATATATATATATATATATATATATATATATATATATATATATATATATATATATATAATATGCAAACAAGCCTGAATGGTCCCCAGGACTATATGCAACTGAAAACTCACACCCCAGAAGTGACTCAAACCCATACTGCCAGGAGCACTCTGCTGGTGTACAGGACACCTTAGCCACCCGACCAGACAAAATGTCCGGTCATATTTTGTCTGGTCGGGTGGCCAAGGTGTCCTGTACGCCAGCAGGTGTTATTACTACCACGTGTGCCCGTGTACAGGTAACGTGATCTAACACACCAGGTGCTATAACTACCACGTGTACAGGTAACGTGATCTAACACACCAGGTGCTATAACTACCACGTGTACAGGTAACGTGATCTAACACACCAGGTGCTATAACTACCACGTGTACAGGTAACGTGATCTAACACACCAGGTGCTATAACTACCACGTGTACAGGTAACGTGATCTAACACACCAGGTGCTATAACTACCACGTGTACAGGTAACGTGATCTAACACACCAGGTGCTATAACTACCACGTGTACAGGTAACGTGATTTAACACACCAGGTGCTATAACTACCACGTGTACAGGTAACGAGAACCTACACACTATGACGTACAACCGCGCCTACACCCTGCGTATGGACTTCCGCCTGACGGACGGCACGGACAAGTGGGGAGAATGGCCAGAGTTCGTCGTGGATGATGAGGCTGCACTGTGAGTTATTATTGGCTTGTGTTCTCTCACTGATCATGTCAGCTCTCAACTACACTGATCATGTCAGCTCTCAACTACACTGTTCATGTCAGCTCTCAACTACACTGATCATGTCAGCTCTCAACTACACTGTTCATGTCAGCTCTCAACTACACTGATCATGTCAGCTCTCAACTACACTGATCATGTCAGCTCTCAACTACACTGTTCATGTCAGCTCTCAACTACACTGATCATGTCAGCTCTCAACTACACTGATCATGTCAGCTCTCAACTACACTGATCATGTCAGCTCTTAACTACACTGATCATGTCAGCTCTCAACTACACTGTTCATGTCAGCTCTCAACTACACTGATCATGTCAGCTCTCAACTACACTGATCATGTCAGCTCTCAACTACACTGTTCATGTCAGCTCTCAACTACACTGATCATGTCAGCTATCAACTACACTGATCATGTCAGCTCTCAACTACACTGATCATGTCAGCTCTCAACTACACGGATCATGTCAGCTCTCAACTACACTGATCATGTCAGCTCTCAACTACACTGATCATGTCAGCTCTCAACTACACTGATCATGTCAGCTCTCAACTACACTGATCATGTCAGCTCTCAACTACACTGATCATGTCAGCTCTCAACTACACGGATCATGTCAGCTCTCAACTACACGGATCATGTCAGCTCTCAACTACACTGATCATGTCGGCTCTCAACTACACTGATCATGTCAGCTCTCAACTACACTGATCATGTCAGTTCTCAACTACACTCAGTTTTATCTTGAGCTAATTTTATCTCTGTTATTTGCATTTAGCAAATTATTCTACATTTCGAAATATTAATGTTATAAAGAACCAGAAGTGAACAATGTGAGATTCTTCACGTGTGGATGTGTAGTGTTAATATCAAGACTAATGTTCTGGGTTATATATGCACAAAGACTAGGAGGCATTTAACCACCTTTAGAAAACATTTCACAAACTGCAGCAAAAGTCAAGGAAAAGTTTGCAGGTGTTCTCATAACTTGGTTTACTAATGAGGCCTCAGTTTGCAGGTGTTCTCAAACTTGGTTTACTAATGAGGCCTCAGTTTGCAGGTGTTCTCATAACTTGGTTTACTAATGAGGCCTCAACTGCAAAGTAAAATGTGACGGCTGTCGGATTTTACTTGTGGGATTTATTTAATTTCTTGAATTTAATTAATAAATTTATTCACTTAAATAGATATTTAACTTTATCTGTTGTTTAAAGCAGGGGACTGTATCTTAAAACTCCACACAAATATATCCCAAAAAACTTGGGGGTTTTATATTTAGAAACTGACTATGTTAGAGCAATTGATTACATTGATTAAATTAGTTAAGTCTAATTTAAATCCAATAAGTCAAATTACCTTGCTCTAGCCTTAAATGAATGATACAAAACACCTTAGCTGTTGTGGGAAGTTGCAGTTGAGGGCCACAAGGACATGACGGCATTAGTCACCAGGCTGGGGGCCGGTGGCTGAGCGGACAGAATACTGGACGCATGATCCTGTGGTCCCGGATTCGATCCCGGACGTCGGAGAGAAACAATGGGCAGAGTTTCTTTCATCCTGATGCCCCTGTTACCTAGCAGTAAATAGGTTCCTGGGAGTCAGTCAGCTGTCACGGGCTGCTTCCTGGAGATGGAGGCCTGGTCGAGGACCGGGCCGCGGGGACACTAAGCCCCGAAATCATCTCAAGATAGTCTCTGGAGACGAACACGGTGCTAACTTCTCCGTCACTGCTCAATTTACCTGTCAACATCTTGCAGTGTAAAATCGCCTGAACACTGTTGGTTTAGATTGCATTAAGAACTTAAATGAGTGATAATAATTATTTAAAGTGATTGTAATATACGCTCACCACTTAGTATTAAGCCTGCATCATAACCTAGATGGAAAAGCTCAACCACTACATTGCTGAATGGGAACGCATGTACTTCCCAGGAACTGATGACGATGATACGAGGTGCACAGCGTCGCAAGGCTGACATGTTACAGACAATACTCGCTCTGGCAGCCGTGTCGTCGGCTTAGTTCTCCAATATGGCCGCCGCCTCCTTCCCTCACGAACGCGTTTTCTAAACGTTTATAATTTATGTAATTCAGGGAAGGACTGGATATTCATTTTACATTCTTTGAGATCAGTTTAAATTAATTTTGTCAAAATAATATATGCATAAACCAGTCTTCAGACAGTACGCATTAATTGTTAAATCAGACGCAAATTCGTTGTTACTCAAAATTTGCTGACGTGGCAGCCGAATTTCTCACGAATGAGTGGAAGAATAAATCGTAATTCTTCCATATTAAATTAAATTTTAACTACAAGTTAATCTTAATAATTATTCACAGCAATTAAAAGAAATTGTCTTTACTTGTGTATGTGCTTTATACTGGAAATTAGGTAAATTATGTAAAACTAGATGGAGAAATATTCCCCAACGGCTTTTTTTTTTAGTCACAATCACAGGTATACACAGCAATGTGCTGCTACCCAACTTTATATGAAAGATTACACATGCCGATGGTGCTCTTGTTCTACTGGCCTAGGAAGCACAGGAACAGGTTTGACGAAGGCACGTCCAAGGTCACCTTCCACATTCTGTCGAGACCTTATCTTAGTTGTCACGAGCAGCTGGAACATCCAGATTCACACAAATATGTTGCTGGTATAAGTGAAAGAGAGCAAACAGCTTCTTAAGACTTCATCCTTAAGACTAAATCCACTTAAGACATATCTGGAACTAAAAATCTTAACTTCATTTTGTGGTGATGCGAGGTGTTCCACTAATATAATGGCCACCTGTCCCGCATGACAGCCGTCCCGCATGACACCCGTCCCGCATGACAGCCGTCCCGCATGACAGCCGTCCCGCATGACAGCCGTCCCGCATGACAGCCGTCCCGCATGACACCCGTCCCGCATGACACCCGTCCCGCATGACACCCGTCCCGCATGACACCCGTCCCGCATGACACCCGTCCCGCATGACACCCGTCCCGCATGACACCCGTCCCGCATGACACCCGTCCCGCATGACACCCGTCCCGCATGACACCCGTCCCGCATGACAGCCGTCCCGCATGACACCCGTCCCGCATGTCAGCCGTCCAGCATGACAGCCGTCCAGCATGACAGCCGTCCAGCATGACAGCCGTCCCGCATGACAGCCGTCCCGCATGACAGCCGTCCCGCATGACAGCCGTCCCGCATGACAGCCGTCCCGCATGACAGCCGTCCCGCATGACAGCCGTCCCGCATGACAGCCGTCCCGCATGACAGCCGTCCAGCATGACAGCCGTCCAGCATGACAGCCGTCCCGCATGACAGCCGTCCCGCATGACAGCCGTCCCGCATGACAGCCGTCCCGCATGACAGCCGTCCCGCATGACAGCCGTCCAGCATGACAGCCGTCCAGCATGACAGCCGTCCCGCATGACAGCCGTCCCGCATGACAGCCGTCCAGCATGACAGCCGTCCAGCATGTCAGCAAGTGTCTTAAACATTGTAACACAGGTTTAGGGTTTCTCTCTCTTTTTCTTCCTTCTTTCTACTCCCTCTACCCGTATTCTTACTTTTATTTCTAAACCAAGGGACTCCAAAACTTTTACCAAAGCCAACTCCACGCCACGTGGTCCTAAGACGATTGACCGACTTAGGATTCTACACCCAGTATGACGTGACCTAAGCTCTGAACAAAACCCTAGAGTCACCTCTGCTGCCACCACCAGACCAGTAATACAAGAGCAATGATCGAGGTCTGGATCGATCACGATAATTAATCAACCTAGGGGCTTGATCCCCACTATAAACGATGACCTTGAGTGTGGAATAAATTACACGGTAATGATAATTCCGATTCGATGTTAGAATCGGCGCCCAATGCAACTCTGCCTCGTGTGGACCACGTGACCAGGACAAGTATACACATAAAACACATGGAAACAATAAAATGCAAATTAATAACAAATTTAATTTATTAAAAGAAAACTAAAACAAAATCTAAATGTGTTCACTCCCTATCACTTTAACACTCCCTACTTGACCTGAGTGGCAAATGAGAAGACTATCCCTATAATTAACAATAGCAACTATACCTTGGGCGACCACAGCTCTAGGTGTTGGGTGGTCTTGGGGAGAGGTAAGATGTTTGACCTCTCCCAGCTGCTCCCGTATTCACACTGATTTGTCCTCGTCTGGCCTAGCCCAGACTAGAACCTTGTATCCTTCCGCCTATTCAAAGTTCTACCCAGTTACTAGCAAGGTTTAAGTTATAACAATTAACCTCTGTTGTACTTAATTGATCCAGACTGGTTGAATTATTTTACTGAATTAAATTACACAAGCCTCTAACGGCAGAGCTGTTCCCGATCACAAAGATGGTTATTAAAACTTTGAGAAATAGTAGACCTGTCAACCCCTGATGACCTATGACCGCCGGTCACTCCGCTTTAAAAGTTAGATCTGATTCGTGACGTCACTGATGGTGACTTAAACTCAATAATTAGAATACTCTTGATATTGTACCCAGTACTATTATACAATACAATTTTAATGCAAAATGAATAAAGGCTAATTTTCTCTAAATTACTGAATACTATAGGATGATTCATTATACGCAGATATGAACAAAGCGTCGGTTATTTCCACCGCGAATTCCCCTGGGGGTCAGGTCACCATGCGGCTCAGCTTCCCATTCTCTTTTGTCGATAAACCACTCTGGATAATTCATACAACAGCCTAGTTTGTTACAACATGTCAAAATTTCCATTTCTTACGGTTATCTGCCACAGTTCTAGTTACATTAGAGAACTCTTGGTTATGAACGAAGTCGGTGACAACAACATCAACCCCTTGCAAAGATTCATGAAAATATTTATATTAAGCAAGTATATCAAGATAGGCACTTCACATGAGTAACCTATTCTCTATTCCGGATTATTTAACTGTGCATGATACTTGTGACATTACGGCTGAAGAACTCTCTCAGCTCATCCGGTAGGTTAAAAGCTCCACTGGCAACATTTCCCCCATCATAACTACTGGACCTCCGTGTTTCATGATCAGACTCTAGACCTGAGCACACAAGTCTAAACAGCCCCAGTATTGACAGCCCTTCACTTCACGAAGTTGACCATCTTTACTGCGGCATCAATCACTTTGTTTACTTCAGTAGACAGTGTCTTAGAAACTAAAGCAGATCTAAAATATTAGTTACGAGCATCACCGCACGTTAAACTATAGTTATAAGCTTCACTATACATGTAAAAATATTAGCACTAATACTGAAAACCACCAATTTGCATTATTATACTCGTTATTCACAAATAAGCAATACGTCAGGTCCATGTTTGGTCTTACACAGACGTGTACAGTACACAGCCATAACTCTTGACGCCAGATAAAGACGTCTGATACCCCCGAAGACCGGGATCACCTCACCTTGTCCCTGGTGTACCAGACCCCCATCACCTCACCTTGTCCCTGGTGTACTAGACCCCCCATCACCTCACCTTGTCCCTGGTGTACCAGACCCCCATCACCTCACCTTGTCCCTGGTGTACTAGACCCCCATCACCTCACCTTGTCCCTGGTGTACTAGACCCCCCATCACCTCACCTTGTCCCTGGTGTACTAGACCCCCATCACCTCACCTTGTCCCTGGTGTACTAGACCCCCCATCACCTCACCTTGTCCCTGGTGTACTAGACCCCCATCACCTCACCTTGTCCCTGGTGTACTAGACCCCCCATCACCTCACCTTGTCCCTGGTGTACTAGACCCCCATCACCTCACCTTGTCCCTGGTGTACTAGACCCCCCATCACCTCACCTTGTCCCTGGTGTACTAGACCCCCATCACCTCACCTTGTCCCTGGTGTACTAGACCCCCCATCACCTCACCTTGTCCCTGGTGTACTAGACCCCCATCACCTCACCTTGTCCCTGGTGTACCAGACCCCCCATCACCTCACCTTGTCCCTGGTGTACTAGACCCCCATCACCTCACCTTGTCCCTGGTGTACCAGACCCCCCATCACCTCACCTTGTCCCTGGTGTACTAGACCCCCCATCACCTCACCTTGTCCCTGGTGTACTAGACCCCCCATCACCTCACCTTGTCCCTGGTGTACCAGACCCCCCATCACCTCACCTTGTCCCTGGTGTACTAGACCCCCATCACCTCACCTTGTCCCTGGTGTTCTAGACCCCCATCACTTCACCTTGTCCCTGGTGTACTAGACCCCCATCACCTCACCTTGTCCCTGGTGTTCTAGACCCCCATCACCTCACCTTGTCCCTGGTGTACTAGACCCCCATCACCTCACCTTGTCCCTGGTGTTCTAGACCCCCATCACTTCACCTTTTCCCTGGTGTACTAGACCCCCCATCACCTCACCTTGTCCCTGGTGTACTAGACCCCCCATCACCTCACCTTGTCCCTGGTGTACTAGACCCCCCATCACCTCACCTTGTCCCTGGTGTACTAGACCCCCCATCACCTCACCTTGTCCCTGGTGTACTAGACCCCCCCATCACCTCACCTTGTCCCTGGTGTACTAGACCATCACCTCACCTTGTCCCTGGTGTACTAGACCCCCATCACCTCACCTTGTCCCTGGTGTACTAGACCCCCATCACTTCACCTTGTCCCTGGTGTACTAGACCCCCCATCACCTCACCTTGTCCCTGGTGTACTAGACCCCCCATCACCTCACCTTGTCCCTGGTGTACTAGACCCCCCATCACCTCACCTTGTCCCTGGTGTACTAGACCCCCCATCACCTCACCTTGTCCCTGGTGTACTAGACCCTCATCACCTCACCTTGTCCCTGGTGTACTAGACCCCCATCACCTCACCTTGTCCCTGGTGTACTAGACCCCCCCATCACCTCACCTTGTCCCTGGTGTACCAGACCCCCCATCACCTCACCTTGTCCCTGGTGTACCAGACCCCCATCACCTCACCTTGTCCCTGGTGTACTAGACCCCCCATCACCTCACCTTGTCCCTGGTGTACTAGACCCCCATCACCTCACCTTGTCCCTGGTGTACCAGACCCCCATCACCTCACCTTGTCCCTGGTGTACTAGACCCCCATCACCTCACCTTGTCCCTGGTGTACTAGACCCCCATCACCTCACCTTGTCCCTGGTGTACTAGACCCCCATCGCCTCACCTTGTCCCTGGTGTACTAGACCCCCATCACTTCACCTTGTCCCTGGTGTACTAGACCCCCCATCACCTCACCTTGTCCCTGGTGTACTAGACCCCCCATCACCTCACCTTGTCCCTGGTGTACTAGACCCCCCATCACCTCACCTTGTTCCTGGTGTACTAGACCCCCCATCACCTCACCTTGTCCCTGGTGTACTAGACCCCCATCACCTCACCTTGTCCCTGGTGTACTAGACCCCCATCACCTCACCTTGTCCCTGGTGTACTAGACCCCCCATCACCTCACCTTGTCCCTGGTGTACCAGACCCCCCATCACCTCACCTTGTCCCTGGTGTACCAGACCCCCATCACCTCACCTTGTCCCTGGTGTACTAGACCCCCCATCACCTCACCTTGTCCCTGGTGTACTAGACCCCCATCACCTCACCTTGTCCCTGGTGTACCAGACCCCCATCACCTCACCTTGTCCCTGGTGTACTAGACCCCCATCACCTCACCTTGTCCCTGGTGTACTAGACCCCCATCACCTCACCTTGTCCCTGGTGTACTAGACCCCCATCGCCTCACCTTGTCCCTGGTGTACTAGACCCCCCCCCCATCACCTCACCTTGTCCCTGGTGTACTAGACCCCCATCACCTCACCTTGTCCCTGGTGTACTAGACCCCCCATCACCTCACCTTGTCCCTGGTGTACTAGACCCCCATCACCTCACCTTGTCCCTGGTGTACAAGACCCCCATCACCTCACCTTGTCCCTGGTGTACTAGACCCCCATCACCTCACCTTGTCCCTGGTGTACTAGACCCCCCCATCACCTCACCTTGTCCCTGGTGTACTAGGCCCCCCATCACCTCACCTTGTCCCTGGTGTACTAGACCCCCATCACCTCACCTTGTCCCTGGTGTACTAGACCCCCATCACCTCACCTTGTCCCTGGTGTACTAGACCCCCCATCACTTCACCTCGTCCCTGGTGTACTAGACCCCCCATCACCTCACCTCGTCCCTGGTGTACTAGACCCCCCCATCACCTCACCTTGTCCCTGGTGTACTAGACCCCAATCACTTCACCTTGTCCCTGGTGTACTAGACCCCCAATCACTTCACCTTGTCCCTGGTGTACTAGACCCCCATCACCTCACCTTGTCCCTGGTGTACTAGACCCCCATCACCTCACCTTGTCCCTGGTGTACTTGACCCCCATCGCCTCTCCTTGTCCCTGGTGTACTAGACCCCCCCCCATCACCTCACCTTGTCCCTGGTGTACTAGACCCCCCATCACCTCACCTTGTCCCTGGTGTACTAGACCCCCCATCACCTCACCTTGTCCCTGGTGTACTAGACCCCCATCACCTCACCTTGTCCCTGGTGTACTAGACCCCCATCACCTCACCTTGTCCCTGGTGTACTAGACCCCCATCACCTCACCTTGTCCCTGGTGTACTAGACCCCCCCATCACCTCACCTTGTCCCTGGTGTACTAGGCCCCCCATCACCTCACCTTGTCCCTGGTGTACTAGCACCCCCATCACCTCACCTTGTCCCTGGTGTACTAGACCCCCATCACCTCACCTTGTCCCTGGTGTACTAGACCCCCCATCACTTCACCTCGTCCCTGGTGTACTAGACCCCCCATCACCTCACCTCGTCCCTGGTGTACTAGACCCCCCATCACCTCACCTTGTCCCTGGTGTACTAGACCCCCAATCACTTCACCTTGTCCCTGGTGTACTAGACCCCCAATCACTTCACCTTGTCCCTGGTGTACTAGACCCCCATCACCTCACCTTGTCCCTGGTGTACTAGACCCCCCATCACCTCACCTTGTCCCTGGTGTACTAGACCCCATCACCTCACCTTGTCCCTGGTGTACTAGACCCCCCATCACTTCACCTTGTCCCTGGTGTACTAGACCCCCATCACCTCACCTTGTCCCTGGTGTACTAGACCCCCCATCACCTCACCTTGTCCCTGGTGTACTAGACCCCCCATCACCTCACCTCGTCCCTGGTGTACTAGACCCCCATCACCTCACCTTGTCCCTGGTGTACTAGACCCCCCATTACTTCACCTTGTCCCTGGTGTACTAGACCCCCCAATCACTTCACCTCGTCCCTGGTGTACTAGACCCCCCATCACTTCACCTCGTCCCTGGTGTACTAGACCCCCCATTACTTCACCTTGTCCCTGGTGTACTAGACCCCCCATCACTTCACCTTGTCCCTGGTGTACTAGACCCCCCATCACTTCACCTCGTCCCTGGTGTACTAGACCCCCCATTACTTCACCTTGTCCCTGGTGTACTAGACCCCCCATCACCTCACCTTGTCCCTGGTGTACTAGACCCCCCCATCACCTCACCTTGTCCCTGGTGTTCTATACCCCCATCACCTCACCTCGTCCCTGGTGTACTAGACCCCCATCACCTCACCTCGTCCCTGGTGTACTTGCAGGTACCGGCTGACCGCCAGCAAGTACAACGCTCTCAGCACCATCGACCACTGCCTCGCCGTCCACACCGGCAAATCCTTCTCCACCTTTGATTATGATAACGACCACACCCCAGGTGAGCAGGTGCTGTGTGGCAGGTGCCGGAGGCTGTGGCAGGTGCCGGAGGCTGTGGGAGGTGCCGGAGGCTGTGGGGGGTGCCGGAGGCTGTGGGGGTGCCGGAGGCTGTGGGAGGTACAGGAGGCTGTGGGAGGTACAGGAGGCTGTGGGAGGTACAGGAGGCTGTGGGAGGTGCCGGAAACTGTGGGAGGTGCCGGAGGCTGTGGGGGGTGCCGGAGGCTGTGGGAGGTACAGGAGGCTGTGGGAGGTGCCGGAAACTGTGGGAGGTGCCGGAGGCTGTGGGAGGTGCCGGAGGCTGTGGGAGGTGCCGGAGGCTGTGGGGGGTGCCGGAAACTGTGGGAGGTGCCGGAAACTGTGGGAGGTGCCGGAGGCTGTGGGAGGTGCCGGAGGCTGTGGGAGGTACAGGAGGCTGTGGGAGGTGCCGGAGGCTGTGGGAGGTGCCGGAGGCTGTGGGAGGTACAGGAGGCTGTACTCACCTAGTTGTACTCACCTAGTTGTACTCACCTAGTTGTGTTTGCGGGGGTTGAGCTCTGGCTCTTTGGTCCCGCCTCTCAACCGTCAATCAACAGGTGTACAGATTCCTGAGCCTATCGGGCTCTATCATATCTACGCTTGAAACTGTGTATGGAGTCAGCCTCCACCACATCACTTCCTAAAGCATTCCATTTGTCAACCACTCTAACACTAAAAAAGTTCTTTCTAATATCTCTGTGGCTCATTTGGGCACTCAGTTTCCACCTGTGTCCCCTTGTGCGTGTTCCCCTTGTGTTAAATAGACTGTCTTTATCTACCCTATCAATTCCCTTCAGAATCTTGACTGTGGTGATCATGTCCCCCTAACTCTTCTGTCTTCCAGCGAAGTGAGGTTTAATTCCCGTAGTCTCTCCTCGTAGCTCATACCTCTCAGCTCGGGTGCTACTCTGGTGGCAAACCTTTGAACCTTTTCCAGGTTAGACTTATCCTTGACTAGATATGGACTCCATGCTGAGGCTGCATACTCCAGGATTGGCCTGACATATGTGGTATACAAAGTTCTGAATGATTCTTTACACAAGTTTCTGAATGCCGTTCGTATGTTGCCAGCCTGGCATATGCCGCTGATGTTATCCGCTTGATATGTGCTGCAGGAGACAGGTCTGGCGTGATATCAACCCCCAAGTCTTTTTCCTTCTCTGACTCCTGAAGAATTTCCTCTCCCAGATGATACCTTGTATCTGGCCTCCTGCTCCCTGCACCTATCTTCATTACATTACATTTGGTTGGGTTAAACTCTAACAACCATTTGTTCGACCATTCCTTCAGCTTGTCTAGGTCTTCTCGAAGCCTCAAACAGTCCTCTTCTGTTTTAATCCTTCTCATAATTTTAGCATCGTCCGCAAACATTGAGAGAAATGAATCGATACCCTCTGGGAGATCATTTACATATATCAGAAACAAGATAGGACCGAGTACAGAGCCCTGTGGGACTCCACTGGTGACTTCACGCCAATCGGAGGTCTCACCCCTCACCGTAACTCTCTGCTTCCTATTGCTTAGATACTCCCTTATCCACTGGAGCACCTTACCAGCTACACCTGCCTGTCTCTCCAGCTTATGTACCAGCCTCTTATGCGGTACTATGTCAAAGGCTTTCCGACAATCCAAGAAAATGCAGTCCGCCCAGCTCTCTCTTTCTTGCTTAATCTTTGTCACCTGATCGTAGAATTCTATCAAGCCTGTAAGGCAAGATTTACCCTCCCTGAACCCATGTTGGCGATTTGTCACGAAGTCCCTTCTCTCCAGATGTGTTACCAGGCTTCTTCTCACGATCTTCTCCATCACCTTGCATGGTATACAAGTCAAGGACACTGGCCTGTAGTACAGTGCCTCTTGCCTGTCGCCCTTTTTGTATATTGGGACCACATTCGCCCTCTTCCATATTTCTGGTAGGTCTCCCGTCTCCAGTGACTTACTATACACTATGGAGAGTGGCAAGCAAAGTGCCTCTGCACACTCTTTCAGTATCCATGGTGAGATCCCATCTGGACCAACAGCCTTTCTAACATCCAGATCCAGCAGGTGTCTCTTGACCTCCTCTCTCGTAATTTCGAACTCTTCCAAGGCCGCCTGGTTTACCTCCCTTTCTCCTAGCACAGTGACCTCACCTTGTTCTATTGTGAAGACCTCCTGGAACCTCTTGTTGAGTTCTTCACACACCTCTCTGTCATTCTCTGTATACCTGTCATCGCCTGTTCGAAGTTTCAATACCTGTTCTTTCACTGTAGTTTTCCTTCTGATGTGACTGTGGAGTAGCTTTGGTTCGGTCTTGGCTTTGTTTGCTATATCATTTTCAAAACTTTTCTCTACTTCTCTTCTCACCCTAACGTACTCATTCCTGGTTCTCTGGTATCTCTCTCTGCTTTCTGGTGTTCTGTTATTCCGGAAGTTCCTCCACGCCCTTTTGTTCAGTTTCTTCGCTTCCATACATGGCCTATTGTACCATGGATTCTTCTGTTGCTTCTCGGATTTTTCCCTTTGGGCCGGGATGAACCTGTTTACTGCCTCCTGACGCTTTTGGGTAACATAGTCCATCATACCCTGTACAGACTTATCTCTGAGGTCTGTGTCCCAAGGTATTTCACTTAGGAAACTTCTCATCTGTTCATAATTTCCCTTTCGGTATGCCAGCCTTTTGATTCCTAGTTCTTTTTTGGGGGAGATAAGTCCTAGCTCTACCAGGTACTCAAAGTTCAATACACTGTGGTCACTCATTCCCAAGGGCACTTCCATCTTAACTTCTCTTATATCCCACTCATTTAGGGTAAATATCAAATCAAGCATTGCTGGTTCATCTTCTCCTCTCATTCTTGTTGGTTCTTTGATGTGCTGGCTTAGAAAGTTTCTTGTTGCCACGTCCAGCAGCTTAGCTCTCCATGTTTCTGGTCCTCCATGCGGGTCTCTGTTCTTCCAATCTATCTTCCCATGGTTGAAGTCTCCCATAATTAGTAGTCCAGATCCATTCCTGCTAGCAACAGAAGCTGCTCTTTCTATTATGTTAATGGTGGTCATGTTGTTTCTATCATATTCCTGTCTACGTCTTCTGTCATTTGGTGGTGGATTATATATGACTGCGACTATAATTTTTTTCCCTCCCTTTGTTACGGTACCTGCTATATAGTCACTGAAACCTTCACAGCCCTGAATATCCATCTCCTCAAAATCCCAGCCTTTTCTTACCAGCAGAGCTACACCACCCCCACCTCTTCCTTCCCTCTCTTTCCTCATAACATAATAGTCCTGTGGGAACACTGCGTTTGTTGTCGTTTTCGTGATCTTTGTTTCTGTGAGGGCTATTATGTCTGGGTTTTCCTCTAGTACCCATTCTCCAAGCTCATTTGCTTTATTTGTAATTCCATCTATGTTAGTGTACATCGCTTTGAGGCTCACTTTCTTCTGTCCCTTCTCAAATCGCCTCCTTGGTGAGTGTTCGGAGGTACAGGAGGCTGTGGGAGGTACAGGAGACTGTGGGAGGTACAGGAGACTGTGGGAGGTACAAGAGGCTGTGGGAGGTGCCGGAAACTGTGGGAGGTGCCGGAAACTGTGGGAGGTGCCGGAGGCTGTAGGAGGTGCCGGAGGCTGTGGGAGGTGCCGGAGGCTGTGGGAGGTGCCGGAGACTGTGGGAGGTGCCGGAGGCTGTGGGAGGTGCCGGAGACTGTGGGAGGTGCCGGAGGCTGTGGGAGGTGCCGGAGGCTGTGGGAGGTGCCGGAGGCTGTGGGAGGTACCGGAGGCTGTGGGAGGTACAGGAGGCTGTGGGAGGTACAGGAGGCTGTGGGAGGTACAGGAGGCTGTGGGAGGTACAGGAGGCTGTGGGAGGTACAGGAGGCTGTGGGAGGTACAGGAGACTGTGGGAGGTACAGGAGACTGTGGGAGGTACAGGAGACTGTGGGAGGTACAGGAGACTGTGGGAGGTACAGGAGACTGTGGGAGGTACAGGAGACTGTGGGAGGTACAGGAGACTGTGGGAGGTACAGGAGGCTGTGGGAGGTACAGGAGGCTGTGGGAGGTACAGGAGGCTGTGGGAGGTACAGGAGGCTGTGGGAGGTGCCGGAGGCTGTGGGAGGTGCCGGAGGCTGTGGGAGGTGCCGGAGGCTGTGGGAGGTGCCGGAGGCTGTGGGAGGTACAGGAGACTGTGGGAGGTACAGGAGACTGTGGGAGGTACAGGAGACTGTGGGAGGTACAGGAGACTGTGGGAGGTACAGGAGACTGTGGGAGGTACAGGAGGCTGTGGGAGGTACAGGAGGCTGTGGGAGGTACAGGAGGCTGTGGGAGGTACAGGAGGCTGTGGGAGGTACAGGAGGCTGTGGGAGGTACAGGAGGCTGTGGGAGGTACAGGAGGCTGTGGGAGGTACAGGATTCTGTGGGAGGTACAGGAGGCTGTGGGAGGTACAGGAGGCTGTGGGAGGTACAGGAGGCTGTGGGAGGTACAGGAGGCTGTGGGAGGTACAGGAGGCTGTGGGAGGTACAGGAGGCTGTGGGAGGTACAGGAAACTGTGGGAGGTACAGGAGACTGTGGGAGGTACAGGAGACTGTGGGAGGTACAGGAGACTGTGGGAGGTACAGGAGACTGTGGGAGGTACAGGAGACTGTGGGAGGTACAGGAGACTGTGGGAGGTACAGGAGACTGTGGGAGGTACAGGAGACTGTGGGAGGTACAGGAGACTGTGGGAGGTACAGGAGACTGTGGGAGGTACAGGAGACTGTGGGAGGTACAGGAGACTGTGGGAGGTACAGGAGACTGTGGGAGGTACAGGAGACTGTGGGAGGTACAGGAGACTGTGGGAGGTACAGGAGACTGTGGGAGGTACAGGAGACTGTGGGAGGTACAGGAGACTGTGGGAGGTACAGGAGACTGTGGGAGGTACAGGAGACTGTGGGAGGTACAGGAGACTGTGGGAGGTACAGGAGGCTGTGGGAGGTACAGGAGGCTGTGGGAGGTACAGGAGGCTGTGGGAGGTGCCGGAGGCTGTGAGAGGTGCCGGAGGCTGTGGGAGGTGCCGGAGGCTGTGGGAGGTACAGGAGGCTGTGGGAGGTACAGGAGACTGTGGGAGGTACAGGAGACTGTGGGAGGTACAGGAGACTGTGGGAGGTACAGGAGACTGTGGGAGGTACAGGAGACTGTGGGAGGTACAGGAGACTGTGGGAGGTACAGGAGACTGTGGCAGGTACAGGAGGCTGTGGGAGGTACAGGAGGCTGTGGGAGGTACAGGAGGCTGTGGGAGGTACAGGAGGCTGTGGCAGGTACAGGAGGCTGTGGCAGGTACAGGAGGCTGTGGGAGGTACAGGAAGCTGTGGCAGGTACAGGAGACTGTGGGAGGTACAGGAGGCTGTGGGAGGTACAGGAGGCTGTGGCAGGTACAGGAGGCTGTGGCAGGTACAGGAGCTAGGCTGCGGACGGTACCTGAGAGGTTATAGCAGATCTCCAACTCTGTTCGTGAAGAATATGTATATATTCTGATTAGCATTGTAAATGTGTGGCCACGTCTGTGGTAGAAAACTAATAAAAAAAAACGGTTCCAGGATTGAGGGTGACAACAGTCAAATAGCAACTATTGCTGAACTCTGAACCTCAGCTGAGTAAAGATATTCGAGATCGTAAAGTTTAGATGTGAGGTTTATAATTATCTTTTACTCCGGGAAGAGATCATTGAGCTGGCATAAAATTTATAATGAAATTCCCTCAAAACATTCCTTTATGATGCATTTTTAACACTGACATTTGGCCACAGCCAAGAACTGCGCCGAGGAGAGTAAAGGCGGGTGGTGGTACTACAACTGCGGCACCCTGGACCCCACCATTGCCTTCACCGCCCCGGGCCAGCTCAACACAACCTGCACCTACAAGATGAACAACAAGAAGGTTCCCCTACACGGCCCAAGTCTCCAGATGAAGCTCCGACCCGCCGCTTGCGACAAGACCGTCAAGGCTGTCCACCTGAACGGTTACTCATGCCACGACCACAACGTCTGAGGCTACCGCTGCCCCCACCTCCATCCTGCCTCCCAACAACAACCTTTTAGCTTCAGTAGCGAGTAAATGTTGCATTATTAAATCAAATATTGTTTGCTTCTAAATAGATGTGCAGAATACTCGGTTAAAATAAAAAACGAACACAGATTTTAAGCTTTGCTTCCCGGGCATCCTGGAGACACCCGTGTACTCTGCCCTTGCTTCCCGGGCATCCTGGAGACACCAGTGTACTCTGCTCTTGCTTCATGACCGAACACTTCAACATCAGACCTGATAAGAGCGCGAACATTATATTTTACATGTGCCTATAAGACTGTGTGTGTGTGTGTGTGTGTGTGTGTGTGTGTGTGTGTGTACTCACCTAGTTGTACTCACCTAGTTGTGTCTGCAGGATCGAGCATTGACTCTTGGATCCCGCCTTTCGAGCATCGGTTGTTTACAGCAATGACTCCTGTCCTATTTCCCTATCATACCTGGTTTTAAAATTATGAATAGTATTTGCTTCCACAACCTGTTCCTGAAGTGCATTCCATTTCCCCACTACTCTCACGCTAAAAGAAAACTTCCTAACATCTCTGTGACTCATCTGAGTTTCAAGCTTCCATCCATGTCCTCTCGTTCTGTTACTATTCCGTGTGAACATTTCGTCTATGTCCACTCTGTCAATTCCTCTGAGTATCTTATACGTTCCTATCATGTCCCCCCTCTCCCTTCTTCTTTCTAGTGTCGTAAGGCACAATTCCCTCAGGCGCTCTTCATACCCCATCCCTCGTAGCTCTGGGACGAGTCTCGTTGCAAACCTCTGAACCTTTTCCAGTTTCCTTATATGTTTCTTCAGATGGGGACTCCATGATGAGGCGGCATACTCTAAGACTGGCCTTACGTAGGCAGTGTAAAGCGCCCTAAATGCCTCCTTACTTAGGTTTCTGAATGATGTTCTAACTTTTGCCAGTGTAGAGTACGCTGCTGTCGTTATCCTATTAATATGTGCCTCAGGAGATAGATTAGGTGTTACGTCCACCCCCAGGTCTCTTTCACGCGTCGTTACAGGTAGGCTGTTCCCCTTCATTGTGTACTGTCCCTTTGGTCTCCTATCTCCTAGTCCCATTTCCATAACTTTACATTTGCTCGTGTTGAATTCTAGTAGCCATTTCTCTGACCATCTCTGCAATCTGTTCAGGTCCTCTTGGAGGATCCTGCAATCCTCATCTGTCACAACTCTTCTCATCAACTTTGCATCATCCGCAAACATCGACATGTAGGACTCTACGCCTGTAAACATGTCGTTAACATATACAAGAAATAGAATTGGTCCCAGCACCGATCCTTGTGGTACTCCACTTGTTACTGTTCGCCAGTCCGACTTCTCGCCCCTTACCGTAACTCTTTGGCTCCTTCCTGTTAGGTAGTTCCTTATCCATTCTAGGACCTTTCCCCCCACCCCCGCCTGCCTCTCGAGCTTGAACAGCAGCCTCATGTGCTGTGTGTGTGTGTGTGTGTGTGTGTGTGTGTGTGTGTGTGTGTGTGTGTGTGTGCTCACCTATTTGTACTCACCTAGTTGTCTGTGCAGGATCGAGCATTGACTCTTGGATCCCGCCTTTCGAGCATCGGTTGTTTACAGCAATGGCTCCGGTCCTATTTTCCTATCATATCTAGTTTTAAAATTATGAATAGAGTTTGCTTCCACAACCTGTTCCTGAAGTGCATTCCATTTCCCCACTACTCTCACGCTAAAAGAACACTTCCTAACATCTCTGTGACTCATCTGAGTTTCCAGCTTCCACCCTTGTCCCCTCGTTCTGTTACTATTCCGTGTGAATATTTCGTCTATGTCCACTTTGTCAATGCCCCTCAGTATTTTATACGTTCATATCATATCCCCCCTCTCCCTTCTTTTTTCTAGTATCGTAAGGCTCATTTCCTTCAGGCGCTCTTCATATCCCATCCCTCGTAACGTTGGGACGAATCTCGTTGCAAACTTCTGAACCTTTTCCAGTTTCCTTATGTAGATATTATTGTACAAGCAGATAAAGATAAATCACGACTGTTGATACTGGGGGACTTCAACTTTAGAGCAATAGACTGGGAGGCCTATGAAGTAAGAACGGAGGACTTTTGGACATGCAGATTTGTGAACCTCATTCTGGAGACATTCTTGTATCAACACGTCAAGCAGGCCACAAGAACTGAGGGAAGGAGATGTACCGTCAGTACTGGATCTAGTATTCACCAGGAAAGAAGAAGAGATATTTGACATCCAGTACCTTCCTCCCTTGGGAAAGAGTGATCACGACCTGTTAGACATTAAATATGCTTTAAGATATCATCTAGAAGAAAATGGGAACATTGAAACAGTTGATAAACTCGATTTAAAGAGAGGTCACTATGGGAACTTCAAATTTTTTTTAATGAGTGTAGTTGGACAAACTTGTTGCTAGGCAAGGAAGTAAATGAAATGTATGCAAAATTTTGCAAAATATACGATGCAGGCACACAAACATTCATACCAAAACAGAGATGCAGGGCAAGAAAACAGGATTGGATCATTAGATATTGCGAGAGGGCCAGAGACCAAAAGACACAAAAATGGAATCAGTATAGGAAGAGGCCAAGCCCCCAAACATACCAGCGATACAAAGATGCGAGAAACAACTATACAGCAGTAAGGAGAGAGGCAGAAAGAAATTTTGAAAAAGGGGATAGCGGATAAATGTAAAACAGAACCGGGCCTATTCTACAAATTCATAAACAACAACTTGTAGGTAAAGGATAATATCCAGAGGTTGAAAATGGGAAACAGATTCACGGAAAATGAAAAGGAAATGTGTGAAATATTAAACGAAAAGTTCCAAAGTGTGTTTGTACAAAATTAAATCTTTAGGGAACCAGACAATAAGAATTCCAGAGAACAACATAGAGCACATAGAGGTGTCTAGAGACGAAGTGGAAAATATGCTAAAGGAGCTAAGTAAGAACAAAGCAGCTGGTCCAGATGGCGTTTCACCATGGGTTCTGAGAGAATGTGCAACTGAGCTCAGCATTCCATTTCACCTGATCTTTCAGGCATCCCTGTGTACAGGAGTCGTAGCAGATGTGTGGAAAAAGGCTAACACAGTTCCAATCTACAAAAGTGGCAGCAGGGAAGACCCCCTCAATTATAGACCTGTATCATTGACAAGTGTAATAGTGACAGTATTGGAAAAAATAATAAAAACTAAATGGGTAGAACACCTGGAGAGAAATGATATAATATCAGACAGACAGTATGGTTTTCGATCTGGAAGATCCTGTGTATCGAATTTACTCAGTTTCTATGATCGAGCCACAGAGATATTACAGGAAAGAGATGGTTGGGTTGACTGCATCTATCTGGACCTAAAAAAGGCTTTCGACAGAGTTCCACATAAGAAGTTGTTCTGGAAACTGGAAAATATTGGAGGGGTGACAGGTAAGCTTCTAACATGGATGAAAAATTTTCTGACATAGAAAAATGAGGACAGTGATCAGAGGCAATGTATCGGACTGGAGAAATGTCACAAGTGGAGTACCACAGGGTTCAGTTCTTGCACCGGTGATGTTCATTGTCTACATAAATGATCTACCAGTTTGTATACAGAATTATATGAACATGTTTGCTGATGATGCTAAGATAATAGAAAGGATAAGAAACATAAATGATTGTCATGCCCTTCAAGATGACCTGGACAAAGTAAGTATATGGAGCACCACTTGGCAAATGGAATTTAATGTGAATAAATGCCATGTTATGGAATGTGGAATAGTAAAACATAGACCCCATACAACCTATATATTATGTGAGAAATCTTTAAAGAATTCTGATAAAGAGATCTAGGGGTGGTTCTAGATAGAAAACTATCACCTGAGGACCACATAAAGAATATTGTGCAAGGAGCCTATGCCACGCTTTCTAACTTTAGAATTGTTTTTAAATACATGGATGGCGATATACTAAAGAAATTGTTCACGACTTTTGTTAGGCCAAAGCTAGAATATGCAGTTGTTGTGTGGTGCCCATATCTTAAGAAGCACATCAACAAACTGGAAAAGGTGCAAAGACATGCTACTAAGTGGCTCCCAGAACTGAAGGGCAAGAGCTACGAGGAGAGGTTAGAAGCATTAAATATGCCAAAACTAGAAGATAGAGGAAAAAGAGGTGATATGATCACTACGTACAAAATAGTAACAGGAAATGATAAAATCGATAGGGAAGATTTCCTGAGACCTGGAACTTCAAGAACAAAAGATAAGAACATAAGAACAAAGGTAACTGCAGAAGGCCTATTGGCCCATACGAGGCAGCTCCTATCTATAACCACCCAATCCCACTCATATACTTGTCCAACCCGCGCTTGAAACAATCGAGGGACCCCGCCTCCACCACGTTACGCGGCAATTGGTTCCACAAATCAACAACCCTTTTACTGAACCAGTATTTACCCAAGTCTTTCCTAAATCTAAACTTATCCAATTTATACCCATTGTTTCGTGTTCTGTCTTGTGTTGATATTTTTAATACCCTATTTAGGGTATTAAAAGTGAAGGATTTATTTAGTGAAGGATTTGGTGAGTCTAGTTGGAGCTCTGAGAGCAGAGATGGGTTCCCTGCGGGAGGAGGTACGACGGCTGAGACTTCGGGAGGAAACGAAGGAGGAGGCCAGAGTTGACGGGACCTCATTAAGAAGGACTGACGGGACCAGTATTAAGAAGACCTCGTCTTGGCAAGTTGTGAAAGACAGGGGTCTTAAGAAGACCTTGGCAAAACCGACAACTAATAGCCTACACCTAAGGACTTTTAATGCATTTGACGTATTAAAGGAAGAGTGCTGTGGTGAACCTGTTGTTCAGAGAGGAGGCAAAGCAACAAGGAGCATTGAAGCGCAGGTCCCTCAAACTGCTCGAAAGGAAAAGGGAGAATCGAAGCGAATTTTGGTTGTGGGAGATTCCCAGGTGAGGTATTTAGACAGAACGTTTTGTGCCAGAGATAGGGGGAACAGATGAAGGGTTTGCTATCCGGGAGCTGGAATTGGTGATATTGTTGGAAACATGAATGATATTATGACAGGAAATGGAAACAAACCCATTATTTGTATTAGTGCAGGGGGTAATGATGTTGGACGAGTTAGGAG